ATGAACTGGGACTGCTGAATGGTGACTGATAATGGTAGATTGCTGCTGAAGGCTAGGGTGACAACTAATGGATGCTAACTCATGATGATGAATTCTTACTGCTAGAGAACTACTGACATAATGGTGGTTAATTGATGGTGGTAGTTGTATGAAAACTTCCTAGGCAACAGGTAAGCTGTGCCTAGGCATGCTCCCAGGGCTCAGAAGTGAATAGGGAGTGCTATATGTATGTAAAATGATGTAAAGAAAGGGTCCATGATGAAATAATGTCATACAAATGCTAAATATGGTCTGATAGTGAGAATGAACAGAAAAGGACACACCAGGGAACTGGCTAGATGATGGATGTAAGCTCCAGGATGCTGCGCAACATAGGGCAACCAAGCACAGGAAGAGTGCACAAAGTGCATGCATGGGAATGTGTCACATAGTGCAGGAAAGCATCATGCCTCTGGCGTGTTTCACAGGATAGTCATAGAGAGTGGGTCATACACCATACCAACTGTCATGAGTTGAAATATGTGCAATCTATGCCTGGAGGAATCTCATTCTCTACACTGGCATTCAATGATAATAGTAGTTGAATTGTTCTTAGGTGCCATCATGACCTTGTTTACCAGATGCCTTCCTGTATCTGTCACTTTTGACCTCAAGTTGTGTCTCTATGTTGTTTCCCCATCAGTTGCTCGCTTGCTCAGCCATTTGGAGTCAGTCTTGCAATTTTCCAAAATACTTATGACTTCTTATCAAGGTCACTCACTCATGACCAATGTTGATTTCAAGGTTGCATGTATTGTTGATTGGCAGGCTGATGTTGTGATCAGCATGAACTGGATTGCTGTGTGGTGCACTATTGGTCACAAAGATGATGCCCCCATCTCTAATCCTGCTTCTCATTCTATGTCTGCTTTGCCAGGTGATATTGTCTTCTTTCTCTCTTTCCACACTCATCACTCATTTCATTCTGCTTGTCTGGACAATTTATGTATATTCAATGGTAACATCAACCTGGATATTCAAGCTATTGGCAGTACTCAGTGGGATTCAGCCCAGTCTTCATCCTTCAGCAGGGCAGTTCTATCGTCATGTAGACATTCTGCATCTATTATCCATGATATCTTTTTTTGGTTTGTGTCATTCTGGGGTTCACATTAGTTTTTTCTTGTCCAATATTGCCCTGCTAAGTCAGGCATGTGCTTTGCATGGTTTAGCACTCATGCAACCACATTCACTCCTCAAGCTATGCAATTTGTTTTTGCAACATATGCTCCATGGTGAGTGTGTGGCTCTAGGTGCACACTGTAAGCACTATCATTATACAGCATGCCATGAGATTGCTGTAGGTTTCAGGTCATCTTCTGATTTAGCTGATTTCATCTTGGATGAATAGATGTCTGCAAAAGTGTTGGTGATATCAGGTGCTGATTTGTGGGTCATTGCACAGAGCATTTGTACTGATTTGGCATCTAGTTCTGGTCAGAATGATCATCTCAAGTGGAAAGCTATTGGCATTTTGAGCATCTTCTGTGGTCAGTGTGGACATGAGTGTGTACAAGTCATCACAATTGATGTTCTCTAAGGCAGAGCATATGTCAAAATATTCTCTGGAAGCCATAGCATCATGGCATGGTCTATGTTTTGTGGGCACCAAGGATCAGTTGTTGGACAAGATTACTGATCATATATCTAGGGCTATGTGTGCATTGTACTTGCCAGATTAGCATTTGGCATGCTCTCAAGTTAATGATGAGTGTTGCACTGAAAGTGCACCAGACAGTTTTGAGTATTCTGTTGACACTAGCCAACAGACATGTGATTTGCTGAAGAATCAGAATGCAAACATGACACATGGTTAGAATGAATTTAGGGTTCAGAATGTGAGTTGGTTGCACTAAAGCTTGTTGCCACCAATTGTGAGCCAGGAGTGACTAGTATAGAGAATCACAAGCATTGAGGATATTGAAGTATCAATGGAAATCACTGAAGACCAAGCAGACCACTCAGGTCCTGACAGCTGCATCAATGTTGCATGCCCTGAATCTTGAACAAACATGACTTGGTCCTTTCACTGTGAGAACGAGATATGTGATGTTGCCAAGAAAGGTAGCAGGCTTTGCCACTTTAGCTGGCACTACAACTTATATAAATATTCATTGTGAGGTGCTGCACATGCCACATGTCTGACACTGCCATTATTTCTGAATTGTTCATTATTCAGCCAGCCTTTTCTACCATCAACTGCCTTTCCAAGGAGCTTCATTCGACAACATGCCAGAGTTATGTATTAACTTGTGACTACTGCAGTAGATCATTCAAATTATGTGGTTTCAAGATGCACCACACTGCCTGTGTAAAAAATGCAAGGCACTTGCAGGAGGATCTGCTTCATGTTGTGAACACTTGATTTTTAGGTATGTTTCCTATCTGTTTTGAAGTATTGGTTGCTGTCATATCCCACAATCTGGACTCACATTCCATAATATTCCCATGCCTTCTGAGCCTATGTCCAGACCCCATATCTGACTCATTGTCAGATCCCCTTTCGCTGTGTGCTCCACACCTCAGTAGGATTGACTCCACTCCAGTGTGGGAAACACAACAAGAAGAGAACTGGAAAGTAGACTTCTAATGTTGGGCTAAATGTGCTATGCCTAGCTGCTATTTAACCCTAAAGGGTTTCTGGACTAAGCTCAGTGCTCAGAGAGAGTAGGAAATCATGCTAATAACTCTCAGTCTCAGACTGGTGCTGGTAGGTGGTGAAAACTATGATCATTACATAAGCACCAAAAGTGCGAACATAACACTAAGCAATATCTGCCTATACAAGCCCACAGAATATGAAATCCCTACACTGGATTTACCCCTGAGCTTTGGAGCTCCGGATCCTCACTGCTGGCCTGATCTGTACCACCCTATCCCATCCACCCTATGCACACTCCATCCAGCAAGACATCTGGACTTCACCTTGTCATATTCCAGTCCTATATCCACCCTGTCTTCCAGATCCCAGATCTCCAGACCTCCGGATATTAACTCCGGACCTATTCCCACCCTCTGTCCAATATCATGCGCCTATCCCCATTTAGGCATCTCTGCCTTTCTGGCTTTTGGTTACCTCCTGTTCCGTCTTGCTGATTGATCCTTGTATGAGTCTTCATCTCTGAGTTCATTTAGTTACATTCCATCTTACTTACTAATGTGTTTCCACATGCTCATACATAGCCCTGCTCCTTTGCTTACTGATCCCCTCAGATATTCTCCAGTATATAACCCCTGTACATACTCCTGTAGTTTCCTTAGTTTGAATATCATCTTAGACTTTGCTTTACTTGCCAAATCCTCTCTCAGACTTTGGTCCACCTAAGTCTGTCCTACCCATCAGGCCTAGGGATTGATTCCCTAGGCCAGAGCTTTGCCTTTCTGGCACTTACCCTCTTTCTGGACTTAGGTCCAATCCCTGTTCTCTCTGACTCTACCTTAGGGTAGTCTACCTCTGTTTGTTTCTACATCAGACTCTGTCCAATGTAGTTCCTATTCCTTCCGGACCTCTGGGTGTCCTGTCCTTCAGACATCCTGCCCTCCATACCTTCAGATGTCCTGTCCTCCTAACCCTCAGACATCCTATCCTCCTGTCCTTTGGACATCTTGCCCTCTGTACCTTTGGACATCCTGTCCTTTGTACCTCCAGACATCCTGTCCTTCTGTCCTCCATCATCCTGCCCTCCTGCCCTCCTGTCCTTCTGTCCTCATCCTCATCCTCCTGTCCTCCTGTCCTCCAGACCTTCAGACCTCCTATCCTTCTATCCTGTTTCCTGTAGAAGTATTACCTTGCAGTGGGAACTCTCCTGAGCACTTCCTGCATTCCTCTGGATGTTTCCCATGCTCCTCTGGAAGTCCTCTAGCACTCCACCAGAGTAGCCAGCCTCTGGAAGTCCTCCAGACTTTGTTGGACCATCATTGGACCTCATATGAAATGAAGGGCACATACTTGGGTAAGGGGCACAGTGTATGAGCTGAGGCCAAGCCCCTCTAAGTCAGTCTCTCTCTCCTTTGAGCATGGTTCTTAGCAGTTGCTGAACTTCCTGAACCACTCAGCCATGGTTGATTTAGATGTTCAAGTCGATGCATATGGCACCAATCATGCTAATGATCTGAATCAGCCTGAAGTGTACAATTTTAGAAGAGCCAAACTTAGATGTTGACAAGTGGGTAGATATGGATGATTATCAGGATTTAGATGGTGCACAATAAATCATTTCTGCCTCCAACACTATAGCTTACAGCATGATAGGTATTCATAGGGTGATTCCACCACATGAATCATCTCTAGATGAATCTGGACAGCATGAAACTGCATTTAATGTTGATGACATCCAAACAGAATATCACCCCAACTCTGAAATCCCAACACAGCCAAAAAATTTGTCAGCATTTCAATGCAATATTTCACAGGACCCACCAACTCCCAACAAGTGACCCTGGGAGCCATTTCAAAGCTACCTGGACTTTGAGGTAGCTGAGCTTGCTCATGAAACTGCCCTAAGCAAGCCTCAAATTGAATGACTGATCAACATCCTGCATTGCTTGAGGCAGGAGTCCTTCACACTGCAAAACTACAACAATATTTGCAAGACATGGAATACTGTATCTCATCATCTCACACTGGTAAGGATCTTGTTGATTTAGTTTTGTTGTTCTGATGTGTGAATCTCAGTTTCAACAACAAATCATCAAAGTGCCATATGACAGAGTTGATCAAGAATTCACACTTCACTACTGGGACTTGTGGGATTGGGCATGTGACCTTTTCCAGGACCCTTATATTGGCCCACAGTTTACATTTGATGCTCAACAGCTGTTGAAATATGATGGGGAGAAGTTTGTGTGATTTGTTGATGAGCCCTGGACTGCAGATGCATTTTTGGACACTCAGGTAAATATTAATATGAAACAAGTTCAAGTTGGAACAATGCACTGAAATTTATCACATCTAGTCAGCCATGCCTGCAGATGGGAAGCCTCTTGCATTCATATTATACACAGACAAAGTGAAGTTGTTGTCTTTTGGCCATGCCAAAGGTTACCCTGTTATTGCTTGGATCATGAACCTCCCAGTCTCAGTCCAAAATGGTGAAGGAGTTGGTGGTGGTCAAGTTGTGGGATGGCTGCCAATTGTACTATCTTGATTGTATTATGACACTACTAATGCTGAACTAATACTGGTTTTTCTCTAGGTCAAAGATGATCCTGCAAAGTTGGGAAAACAGAAGTTCATGGATTTCAAGGCAGCAGTTTGGCATGAATCCTTCAAGATCTTGCTGAAGTGTCTTAGATCGAAAAGGAAACATGGTGGATGGGTTGAATGTTGGGACAAATCTCAATGTCATCTGTTTCCCTTTGTGCCAATCTATAAAGTAAGGTGCAATGGTGTGGGAAGTGTCTTGCCAGCTCATGTGGCTTTTACATAGGGGCATGTGGTTTTTGCTAAATGCCATGTGTTTTCACTTAGCTTGCTTAAACCTCTTTTTGGGAATCTTGTGTGGCTTTCCCACATGGCCTGGTCATGGGTTTTCAAGCTCCAACTTAATACTGTTGCCCATTTGAGTGCAGCACATGTCAATAAATAATTGATGAAAAATTGAATGAGAGAACAGGGGAATGGGGGAACAGACCAATCACTCTGCTCACACCTTTGGCCCATTCCCCCATTCTCTCATTCAATTTTTCATCAATTATTTATTGCACATGCTAGGATGCAGCCAAGGCCAGGAAGCCAACAAGGAGTGTGAAGCACTCCATTTGCTTCCTATGCTGAAGGTACAATGGGTGTAAAGCTAGTATTGTCTGCTGACTATGAGGAGCAGTGCATTCAAACATCAAACATCATATATTCTTACTAATACTTAACATGAACTTTACACATTCCCAGATGTGTTATGTTGCTCATCTATGGAGTCATGGGCAAATTTCCATGCCCTGTTTGTTTGGTGTCGGAAATTTCCTAAGTGGGTTGCAATCACGTGCATTTGAGACTTGGTATCAACTGTATTGATACCGAGTTGAGATATTTGTACCTATATTCCATTATTCATACCTAGTAGGAACATGTATACCAAAGTTGCCATATTGATAGTGACATTGCATCATTCTTGGTGAGTCACATTATTGATACTGCATTGACATAATCTTCTGCAGCATTGATTCCAGCATGCACTGCGGTGCTGTCTGATTGAGTCAACACTGCCTCCTGCAACACAACCCTTACAACAATTCCATCAATGACGACCCCCAGAAGGTATCTTTTCCATCTTGCTCACCTATCAGTACTAATAATCTTAATGTCTATTAAATCTTTTGCTCAAGTCTACACAGATTCATGATATGCCTGTAGATCAGTATCGCCTGTGTTCATTTTGTGGCAGTTCCTACCATTGACAAGGTTTCCGGACGCACAAAAATGCATGCCAGAAGTGATCAGAGCAGTGAAGGGAGGATATTGAGCTTGCTTGAGAGATTTGCCAAGGTATGTCATGACAACAGTTTCAGTTGATGTCACTAATCAACCAACTCACAGAAAGAGAAAATAATGTGTCTGAGTCTGCATTTGTTGGCAAATGACTGTCATCTAGCCCAGTTCTTTGTAGGTCACATGTGGCTTACATATCTTGCAGCCTTTAAATTGACTACCATTGATTCAAGCCACTGCCTACCATTGTTCACAGGATAATGGTGCTGTTGATTTCAATGGCCTTGCAGACTATCCTGATGATGATGATATCAGTCATATGAATGGTACATTTCTTTTCTCTACTTTTCCCATCTACTCAGCTTGCAACCTTTGTTTCAGAATCTCCACCACCTCAGCCATTTGAGGAGGATGACATCTGAGTGGAGTATCATCCCAGTAGTTAGTGCCCTATGCAGGTTCATCATTTCGAGGAATATGGACATGGTCCTGGTGCCCCCACAGCAGTCCTGCCAGTTGAACCTGAGCCATGGCATCCATTCCGAACTCAGATCAACTTCGAAGTTGTGGAACTTGCCCTTGAAGCAGTGCTGACTCACCAGCAGATGGATTGCCTTCTCAACCTCATCCATCACAGCAAGTATGAACAAGTCATGCTTTGGAACCACAAAGACGTACAAGATACGTGGGATGCTGCTTCATATAAATTAACACCTGTTTGTATTCAATTGTTTTGAGTGTGAACCAATCTAAGTCTTTTTTTTCCCTCCACAATAATAGTTGTAAGGGAAGAGGTGGTAGTGCCTTTCCAGGGTAATGATCAGACATTTCAACTATTCCATTGCTTGATATGGGACTGGGCAGTGGATCTCCTTCAAGATCCCCAAGTTGGTCTGCACTTTGTCTTTGATGCTGAATGACTTTCAAAGTTTGACAGTGACAAATTTGTTCAGTTCATTCATGAGCCTTGGACCACCAATGCATTCTGGGAGTATCAAGTATGCAACACTATTGTTTTACAAGTCTGTGTCATGTATTAAATTTAGTACTATAATAGTCAAAAATACCCTCAGATGCCAAGCCTCTTGCCTTCATTCTTTATGCAGATAAGGCTAAATTATTGTTGTTTGGCCAGGCAAAAGGCTATCCTGTCATTGCACAGGTGCACTAATATTCCTGTTGCGATTCATAATGGAGATGGCTTGGATGGTGGGTGAGTAGTGGGATGGTTACCAATTGTTAATTCTGCACTCCGCTTGATGACTGCAAACATTGTTAACTAACAGCACTTTGACAGGTGAAGGAGGACAAGAAGCACTCTGGAAAGCCAGCATTTGTGAACTTCAAAAACACGGTATGGCATCAATCAGTTCTGAAAATGCTCACCTGCCTTGCACCGCTGTTGATGATTGGATCCACCATTAAATGCTGGGATGACCTTGTTCATATCTTCTATCCTAATCATACTCATACTCTCTGCAGACTATGAAGAACAGTTAGTGTCAATTTTAGTCTAATTAATGAACCCTCAGTAATATCCCTGATACCCTTACAGGTCTGTGATGGCATTGATTCGGGGTCTGATGGGAAAATTCCCTTGCCCTATATGTCTTGTACCTCGTGACAAGCTTTTCAAGACATCTAATGTCTATCCTCTTTGCATATCTGCAGATGTGAAGGCATTACATGCTCAGACCCAAGAGTCTGCAACATTGGAAGCAAGAGAACAAATATTGAGCTCTGAGAGCCTTCATGATGTTGATGTAAGTCTTTCCTTTGGTTCTGACTCAAATTTTAAAATTTGTGATTAGAATTCTTTTGATATCATGGAGCATACTGATGTTCATTGGGCTCTCTCATATGACAAACTCCACTTTAATGATGGGGGCCTTTTCAGTGATCACCAGTGGACCAAACTACAGAAGTGGATTGAATGTTCAGGTCAACAAGCTGCTGTGCTGATTGATAGCTTGTGCGTAATTTTTGTCTATTTTACAGAGATTCAGACACTAATTTAGATTTCCAGCTTTGACTTGTTTCCATGATGGCGAAATCTCAATCATTTCAGCCAGGTTACATCAATATCTTTTTCTGATGGAACAAAGTATGAAGATATATCAAAGGCAGGTTATATATTACTCTAGACTATTTTTCATTAGATCAATTAATGTGAATCTAGCTTATTGTCTTTGCAGCTCATAATGTATTTGATCACAATCAAGATCTGGAGGCTTATCTTCTGCTCCATTGTGTTCGCAGCTATGTGGAATTCAACATGTATGCTTTGTTCAAGGTCCATACTGAAGACACTATCAATGATGGCTGAAAAGCTCTGGCAAATCTGACCAAACTGATAGATGTATGTTTCATTGTATACTATATTCTCAACCAATGACATTGAAATTTTGTGAGTCAGAAATACATTCAAGACACATTAGACTTAAGTGACAAGTTGTGGAATTTCCCAAAGAAGCATCTTTCTGCACATCTCTTTAACAATATTGAGGCAAAAGGTGTCACCTGAAACTATAGCACAAAACCAAACAAAAAAATGCACAGCCCACTGAAGGATGCTTATCAGGATCATACAAACTTCAAGAACTTCACTGAACAGGTAATATGATGCTGCATATCAATATGTGTCAATTGATGGAGTGCTGATGGAATTCGAAGATTCTCCAATATAATCATGACAGCCTTATAGTGGAATACATTCGTGGGAAGTTGCATTCTCTTGACATGCAAAATCTCAGCCTACCTGAGTCAGATCTGCCTGATCCAGAGGCTGATGAAATTGAACAAATAGATGGGCTACATTTCAGCCTTGGCTCACAGCAGGCAACACAGTCATTTGTGGATGTCAAAGCAAGTAAAACAGGCAATCCAGCCTTCGTTCAATTTTGGATCAAGCTGAATGATTTTTTAAACCACACATTCAATGCCAACAACATACCATTTCCCAATGGGAGACAAATCCAACTTGCCACTGATGACATTGTGTGTCAGCACTGGCAAATTATTACTAATATCACATTAATCTGAACCATTGACAGATCACTGAGTACCGATTTGTCAAAGTCAACTATGAATCACTAGTTGACTGGCAGGTATCCACTGACTATCTCTGATGCAGTCCAATGTTTCATGGATCACCTTGATATGATTTCATTATCCTGCAGACAGAAGCTTGTGTCATCTTCACACAATTGTTGTTGGTCTTCACCTACATGGTCAGGGATGTTCAATATCCTATCATGCTAACTCTCCCATATGATCAACCTGTTGGCGCTTGTCCACAGAAGGATAAAGATTTCAACTTCTGGTGAGTTAAGGCAAAGCCTAGAGTCTCTGCGGAATTCTTTTTGGTGCAATCTATCATCTGCAGTTGTGTACTGGTCAAGGACAGTAGCAGACCTAATGAGGCTCTGGTCATTGACACTCTTGATACAGATATGTTCCTTCACATGAAGGAAATCCATACTGATACTGCAGCTGGTTAGTAGGTTACTTGTGGTTGACTTATTTAGCTTGTTCATGATGAAGGTGAGGACTTTGGACTATGGGGGGAACTAAAGCAAGACCTGGATGTGAGACTGAACTTGACCCTAAGGACAGCTACTGAGAGAAGGTCCTCGAAATGACTGAGGGAGACTCCGAAACCAAACAGGCACTATAGGATGCATGAAGCGTGAATACTAGAAGAAGCATGAAGAAGATGCACACGAAAGCATGCTGACACGATAGAAAGCAAGAGCACGCGCAGTGGAAATGCAGTGCGTGCAATGGGGGTCTAAAGCATAGGTGCTAGAGCTATCTGGAAGTGAAATCCAGTGGAGAGAGAATTGAGCTGACTAGAGGCAATTGTGTCTAGGAAGGTAGCATGCAAGTTCCAATTCTTAGTGCTTTCAAACTGGCTCAAATGCGCAAACTACTGCTACTACACAGAGGTAGGAGGTGCTAGGATATGGTACTCTAAAAAACTCCCCCTCCCTTCTCTATATTGGGCGTTAGGTGACGCTTTTAGCATGGAGGCAAAGTGAGTAGGTAGCAATATCTGTATGTAATAGTGTTTTAAACACACGCTTGCACGTTTATAGCACTATAATTGGCCCAGAAGGTACATCAGAGTGATAAGAGTATGATAAAAATGCACCAGTGGACTTTAGTGAGGACATGGATGGGTGGATGGACTGTAGCAGAGGATGTAGAGCAGGCACGCAGGATGTGCAAGTGCATTCACATGCATGCAGCGGTTGCACATCAGCTTGCGATAGCACGAGTGACTTATCCAGAGGATCAGAACCAAAGTATCAGTGGGAAGGGATGGTATATCATCCTATGGTGGTGATATAGAGGAGCGAGTCTCTACAATGACTCCATCAAATAATGTGCTTCATAATACACTCAATGGACAGAACAGCAAGCTCAAACTCCAAAGGAAGAGGTGACAGCTGGAATAGCTACATGTCAGCTGTCAATGTGGCCCAGCACTGCTGCAATGAGGCTGACTGCTGACTGTCACTGATCCTTTATCTTGCACCAGTTCATGTACCACTGTGTACCATCACCTGCTCCAACACCAGGCAAGAAGGTTTGTGCATTTTCAACTTAATGTTCCAACTAACGTACCTTGAATCATTCGGTACCTCACTAGACTTGCCAACCAAGCCATCTGACAATGACACCCTTCCTACTTTCATTGGCGACTGTGGGCATTCACTCCTGGGCTGAGACCTACTCACCCCTCATTGACACTTACATCAAGGATTCTGCCCAGCATGAATACCTCTTTGACATCACAGAGACTATTCCTTGCTCAAGCACAAGGCTGACTGGGCACTCAAGTGGATATCTGATCAGTGTTCCACCTTTGGTGATCACTTGGTCACATTTGCTGCTGTTGAAGGCATCTTCTTCTCTGGCTCCTTCATGTCCATCTTTTGGCTGAAGAAACACAGTCTGATACCTGGTCTCACACTCTCCAATGAGCTCATCAGCCATGGTGAGGATATGCACACTGACTTTTGCTTGCTTGCTCTTTAGCCACCTCAAGCATCACCCACACCCTGTTCCTGACTGGTTCATCATGACCACAATCTCACTATTCTTACACTGACTGTCTTTCCAGATGCTCTCCCTGTTGGTGTTATTGGCATGAATGCCAAGCTCATGTGTCAGCACATCGAGTTCGTTGTAGACTGCTTGCTGGTATCGCTAGGCAATGAGAAGGTGTACAATGCCACCAACCCCTTCAACTTCATGGACATGATCTCACTGCAGGGGAAGACCAACTTCTTTGAAAAGTGTGTCTTGTATACACAGCTCAAGTCTCTGCCATCACCTCTATTTTCCATTCATCAAATGCAATATGTGTGCTCTCTTTTGCTGATCTTTTAAACCCCTTCTTGTGCTTCTACTTTCCTTCATTAACCTGTATTGGAGTCATACATGGCCTCTGGCCCTCCCGGATCAATGCCTGCACAACATCCTGCAGGTGAACCCTCTCCCCCATCATCAGATCCATCTTGGGAAGGGGACACGATGTTTGTCATTGCATATCTCATTCCATTGCCTCAACTTAATTCCTTGGCTCCTCATCCAGGTTCAACATTTACATTTATGACTATTGCAATAAGTGCAGATTCTGTAAAATAGCTTGTGAGCTGCTGGTAGAGACTGACATACCACCAGACTCTGCTCCTCCTATCAACACACATCAGGGTCTATTTTTTGAGTACATCCTACTTGACTTATTCCTTAAGTGCTTGGTAACTCAATATGTGGCACTCCAGATGGCAGAGCATTTTTTGGGTACTTTTCACAGCAAAAAACAATGGAACAGGAACAGATGATGCAATTGTCTATACACAGGTATGTGGGATGCAATGTTCTTAGCATTGTACTGACTGTGACCTCTGAACAGCATCAAATGCAGCAACAGCACCTCAGACAGCGGAGTCAGACTGATACTCAAAGGTGGGCATCTGAATCAACCACCAGGTGTCAAGCAAAACGTTGTGAGTAGGTGCTGCTTCCTTGAATGTTTCTCTGGAAGAGGACTTCTAGATGTGTCATTGCACTCTCTTGTTTGCATATATCACAATTCCCCCACATGCACTATACCACGTGCCCATTATGTAATAAGCTGACATAATATTTTTGCCAAGGTTCCAATTGGTCCAATTGCTTCTGACATGGGTTCAACCAGGTTGATTCACCTGATGTTTCACTGCAACTGTTACATTGATGGCTAACTGGCAAGACTCAATTCAATGATGCTTCAAGGATGTCATATGCCATTCCAGACTCTCAACTCTAAATCCACTTCTCCGGATATCCAGATCCAAGATCCGGATCTCAAATGATCTGATCTATCTTTATCTCCCTTCTGGAATCCAAACCCTATATCAGCGCCCAACCCCATTTAGACTGCCCCTGTCTCCAGACTCCAGTTAACCATGTTTCCCTTCTGATCATTGATCCATTACATACATTTCATTTCCAGTGTTCATTATTTGTGATCTGTCCTACTTACTAATAGACTCTGCATATGCTTCATACATAGCCTTTATGTTTGCTGACTGATTCCTATATGATACCTACAGTATATAAACCTCCTGTAACTCTCGGAAATACTCCAGTTCAAATATCATCTTAGTTCCTGCTCATTCCTGTGTCCTCTGGACTCGAGATAAGTCTCATGTCATATTCCGAGTCTTAGGATTGCATCCTAGACTACATTTCTGACTCTACCTTAAGGTAGTCCATCCTCTGTTAGTTTCTAGTCTGGACTTCGTCCAGATTAGTCTTATCTGCTTGCCCAGGTAACATCTGGACATCTGTCAGATTTATCTCATGTTTCAGATCCGGATGTCCATTGTCTGCCCTAATCAAATCCCGGAAACTCCAGGACAACTGTTCTAGCCCCTGGAAATTAAGGGCACATACTTGGGAAAGGGGCACAGCATATGAGCTGAGGCCAAGCCCTTGTGATCCGACCCCCTTGAGCATGTGAACTTAACATTCCCCCATGTTCCATAACACTCCATGATACGATTCCATTATGATCAGGATGCAGGGCAGCACCATGTTTGCTTAGTTAATCTTCATATTCACATGCATCATAGGAGATGCAAGTCACCCCATTGCACTCATTCAAGCTTGTGATGTTGCAGTACAAAATAAACCCTTGAAGGATAGGCACCTGGGTTTCTGGTGGGTTAGGGCACAGCCTCGGCATAAGAGTGAGTTTGTTTTTGTTGATTCAATAATCAGGGGAGCACTGTTGATTGAAGATGGCTCTTGGCCTGGCAATTTCCTTCTTGTTTATTCCATCAACACTGATATGCTTCTTTGCATGCAGAAACTTCACCATAATATTGCTATCTGAATCACTCTTTGATGTGTATTATACTTTGATTCAGATTGGTTGTGATGTTTGTGTTTGTTTGATATCAATAGTGACACTGTTTCAATGACTCTTGGACTCTTAATAATATGTCTTTTCCCCTTGTATTCTGAATCAATAGACCATTCAAATATCAATATCTCTCCAGTGACATTCAGAATGCACAATGATGGTTCTCAGAAGAAATGATGCACAGATTCAGATGGCCCAGGGATTGGAGGATAACATAGATGACATTGGTCTGACAGGTATTGATTATTATAATAATAGAAGTCATGCAGCCTGTTGATATGATCATCTGATGGTCCATTGACAGGTCCCAGTGCCACTGGACAGATTCTGAATCAGATGCCAACAAATCATCAGTCAAACTCACAATATTCCATTGACAGTTCTGGACCTGTCCTGATTCAATCCTTAACTACACCTGGACCATTCTATCATGAATCTGTCAATCCATGGTCACAAAGACACAGAGTGTTGCCTGGTCCTTGTATGGAGGGCATTCATGTTGAGGTCAAAACATCCTCTTCTGAATCTGAGATGCATCTGAATCAGCACACTAGTGGTCAGGGAAGCGGCTTAAATATGCAGGTATCTCAATTTACTTTATTATAATGCATGGTCTCATTCAATCAATTAACCAAATTGAAGGGGTTCTCTGAGCCCCAACATCATATCATCACATCTACTCAAGTTGCAATGGCCCAGCTGCACACAGCACATTGGTCTTCAGAATCACTTATTAGTATGTCATCAATCACCAGCACTGAGTCTCACACTGCCTGAAAATTCTATTTTGTGTGACATGGCCAGTTCACAGGAGTGTTCACATCAGGGTATGGCAATTTCAAAGCTCATCAGCATAACTATTTTTCTGAAAATTGATGGAAAATTGTGTCAGGCTTGCAGCTTGGCATTTAGTGCAGGGTTTTAGCAGAGGGAATTTTAAGTCTTTTTGAAGCAAGCAGGATGCTGTGCAGGACTATTACCTCTCCAAGGCTAACAATACAAATAGCCTGGACCTTGTCTGATCATTGGGAGATGGTTCAGATGACTATTTGTGCTTGATCAAGTAATAATATTGATGCAAGGTCCAGGACTGTTACATTGACATGCCTCTGATGAATCCATGACAACTTCCTCAAACAATACTCTGGAGTTCTGAATTCAAATTTCCCCCAATATGGCAGACCATGACCTCACCTCACCTTACTTTTCTGTATCTCATAATAGGGCAGCAGAAGTTATATGTATTCCTAACATTATCCTGTGATTCTTAACCCTTCATTTGCAAGCATAGGATGACAATGGTTCAGTTGCCCTCTGAGGTAATAGCAGCCTGTTGTATTACATGTATCTCCACCTTAATTCTCTATTAGTTCAACATGCTGATGTATTATGTTATTATAGGACTCAAAAACAGTAATAATGCAATCACAGATGTGTCTATTGGTGACTGGTTCATTAATACTCAGTTCAACACTTGATTCAGACCTCAACATGATGCTTCTCATGGCCCGTAGACTGTTCTAAAAAGATGTTGATGTAATTGTGCATCTTTTTTGTGACTCTTTGATCCGAAATGCACCACAGGTGGGTGAATGATTCAGATATATAAAATTGACAACAATTTGAAGCATTGTCAGATAATTCAGATTCTTCTGTGCCAGTGTCGCATTCACACCTCATACCCTGCTATCATAAGTGCACCATGTCACCTTGAGTCAAATGACTCTGACTTTGAGAGCAGCACTCAACTGCACCAATGTGGTCATATTCAGCCCTCTATCTCCAAACCAACCCCCAGAACTAACACAACAGGCTCCAACCATGTTAGCCACTCCTGTAAAGAAGGTCATGTCAGTGTGGTAAGTTAAATAACAGTACCATTATGTTGAGGAGTTACTGATCTGTCCCAACAGACTCTTAGGCAGGTACAGCTCCAGTTAGATGCTATCAAGTAGCAGAACCAAATCTTGGAAGAACAAAACACAATTCTGGAGGCTAACCAGCCCACTCACAAATCTTCTAAGCCACCCTTGGATCTTGTTGCATTTGATGAAGAAGTGAAGATATTTGCAAAGAAATATGGTGTTATGTATGAGATGTTCCTGCCAAATACTGAACTACTCAAGGAGGCTTTGCCAGCATCTGCTCCACCATTTGAACAAGCTGCTTGATATGCAAACTCTGCTGCTGAAGATGATGCACTATTGTCCAAGCTGTATAGTATGCTTCCTCAACACTTGCATCACATTGTTGCTTCAAATCATTTTCATAAGATTGTACATCTTTATCATACTACTAACTTCTATATGCTGACTCTTGTCCAGCTGCAGCAATCACTTGAAGCAGGTCAGTCATCCAAGCTCATCAAATTGAGACAAGCCAGAAGTTGCATTTTCAATCTGGATTCTGATTACTTTGTAATATCCACAAAGCAGGATGCAATCAAAGAGCTTTGTGATCTGCTGGGCACCACACCTGAAAGCCATTCATATCCACTCTTTCCACCCATCCTCTTCCCTAACACATGCCCTAACACCACTAATTCAACTGTTTTCAGCAACTGGAGACTGCTAGTGCAGGTGTGTATTTAGCGTCATTGTGGATACATAACTGACTGTGTGATTGCAGATCTTGAAAGCTGTTTTGATGAGCGAAGCATCTCTCACCTCTGTGAAGAAGGGCAGGCCACCCAGGAACTTGAAAATTTGGGGAGTATTGACAATTACTCCAGGACCAATGGCATGGAGTGCAACAATAGTAAGTGGTTAATATTGTTGTTTGAGTCACCATCAAGCATGGTCTATTAACAGGCCATTTTCCTCCTCTTACCTGACACTGTGTTCTCTCAAGACAGCCAAGGGAAGAACTTAGGGATTCAATACAGGAATCTATTCTACAGCTTCAAGAAAATATTGGTTTGTTGCTGAAGTACTCCATATCTTACAAAAACCAGGTGACACATTGAAGGGCACATCTTTGGAGCTGCAAAGCTACCTGTCAATACACTTGATGGTAATGATCCTACAGTGCAGATCACTCTCGCAATGGCTGGTCTACAAGCTAATGATGCTGAAGACTCAGACTTATTAGACCCTGCTCTAGATTCAGAGATCAGCACTGTTTCTTGCATGATCACTGCTGTCCAAGATGACCAGTCCATTCCTCCATTGCCTACAGTTTTGGATGCAGCTCCTAGTGCTCCCTCAACTCCACCATTTGCCTCAATGGCTACAATTGAGGATGATTTACATGTGCTCATTCATACCAAGCTTCAAGTGGCCAGTTTGGCACTACCTAATACTGCCAGTATATCAACTAATAGTTCAACTATTGAACTGGCTGATGAGGGTAATAATAGTAAATCTCAGTCGAAGAAAAGGTTGAAGAAGCATGTTCCAGATGGTGCAACTCACAAGTCTGATTGTCACAGGAAAAAGTAGTTTGTCAGGATGTCACAAATTTTATGCTTATATTTTGTCTACTATCTGTTAATGACTTTGAAACCACCAATTTTCATTGGCCCAGCAGTTGCAATTGATTACATCAGCTTTGCAACCCACTAAAAGGTCTCTCACATGGTTCAACTTGAACTTGCTTTTCATTCTGATGCTTATTACTATCAGACAAATTCCTACTACTGTCATTGCCAGGCAACCCTCTGAATCTGCCACAAGTGTCAATGAGCTCTGAGTTGACACCAATATGCCCCCTGGCAGGACAAGCTGAAGCCCATTGATAAACAGTGAGAGATTCCAATTCATACTTCAATGCAGACATGTCAATAATTATTATTTCCTCACAGTTGCAGTCTTCATCTCCTCCAGGAGTGGAACAATGTTGACAGGATTCAGATATTAGTGGTGAGTATTGTTATTACTGGCCTATTAGTGGCACATACTTACTGAATAACTGTTAAGGTCATGTGCTCAAGGGGGTCGGATCATGAGGGCTTGGCCTCAGCTTGTATGCTGTGCCCCTTTCCTAAATATGTGCCCTTAATTTCTGAGGGCTAGAATAGTCGTCTAGAGTTTCTGGGATTTGACTAGGGCGGACAATGGACATCTGGATGTTATTCAGACAAGCGGATAAGGCTAATCTGGACAAAGTCCAGACTAGAAACTAACAGGGGATAGACTACCCTAAGGTAGAGCCAGAGATGTAGTCTAGGATACAATCCTAAGACTTGGTGTGACAGTCAAGTTTTCCTTGGGCTTAGATTTACTTACTTTACTTACCTTTACCTACCCCCACTTTCTTTAGCTTATGTTTGCATTTTTGCTGCTTACTTAAGCATGTATCTCTTTCACCAGTGTCAGTACCAGTCAGAATGACAGTCCTTTTTGATGATATTTTCTACCCTCTGAGCACTAAGCCAAGTCAGAATCCCATGGGCTGAACATACTGCTCTCTACTCAGCAGCTTGGCCAGCAGTTTTGAGATTCCCACATCAGAATATGACAAGAGACTTGGCTTGAGTCCAGAGGATACAGGAATGAGCAGGAACTAAGGTGATATTTGAACTAAAGTATTTCTGAGAGTTACAGGAGGTTTATATACTGTAGGTATCATATAGGAATCAGTTAGCAAACACAAAGGCTATGTACAAAGCATATGCAAAGTCTATTAGTAAGTAGGACAGTGTGAAGTAGAAATAGGTACTAGGCTGTTAGCAACTAGCACTACTTATCCTAAGAGGCACGAGTCAGTAGATCAGCCTGAGAGGACTGCTATTGAAGCACTTCCTTTGAATATGTGCAAGGGAAGCAAGTGAGTAGAGGAGTTAAAATCTATAGTGGCCTAAGAAACTAGAGCGCAGGATGTATGTATACCTTCAAATTCCTATGTCAGAGAATTGACCATGAGTGCGGGCAAAAATTGACCAGTATTAGTATCACAAGTGTGAGATGAATACTAGAGGATATGTGCAAGTGCAGTGAATGCTGGATACCAGTGCAGTAGATATAACACGCACAAAATCAACTGCACTTGATAGAGCAGCTGAGCACAAGAGAGATAGTGTGAGAGATGGACTGCGCTAAGTTACCAGTCACAGGTCAAGTGTTCAAGAGCCTAAGTATAAGGTCCTAGTGGTACAGAACTTCAGAGTGGTTGAATTGCATGAGATTGTCAAGTATGGGCAAACAGATTAGATTGCACAATGTCTACAAAAATAATACAAGAGCAACTCTCCTATAGGACTGAGTCTGGGGGGAAGGGAACTACTCAATTGTATGTACTGTGGTCATTTTATCATAGTGCATGAAGGTCCAGAATGTGTAGGTAGGAATTGTAGTGCAGTAAGCGGGCGCGTGATGAGTCTATAGGTAATAAGACATCATGCACTGCAGAATGTGAGTAACATGTAATAAGACCTGTAGCTTATTTAGCAATGACATTTGGGAAAATAACACACCAGCAGAGATAGGTGGACATGGATAGGACATGGGAGGACGGATTCCTAAGACCAGACCAAAGTGTGGATGAGTCAATATATATGGATTAATGATCAGCACTTTATCTCCTTTCCTGGTAGTGAGAAGAACCATGCTGGTGATCATACACGCCTAGTGCCAGTATGATTGTCACAACAGATCACCAATAATGCATATTGGAAATGAAATGTATGTAATGGATCAATAATCAGAAGGGAAACATAGTTAGCTGGAGTCCAGAGACAGGGGAAGTCTAAATGGGGTTGGGTGCTGATATAGGGTTTGGATTCTGGAAGGAAGATAAAGATAGATTAGATCATTGGAGATCCAGATATCTTGAGAAGTGGATTTAGAGTTCAGAGTCTGGAATGGCATATGACAATAATGATGCATCCACTTTAGAAATAATTGAGGTTGCAGTCAGATTCAGCCAACCATCAAGCTTAGTTACTTTAAATCACCACATTCTGACACTGCCCTGCATCATTCAGTTTCAAGAAAGTAAGTACATTGTCCTATTTATTATTGCATTTGCCCACTTCTTATTATAAACCCCTTCTGTAGCTATCTATTGTTTACCCTCCATATCATTGCTGCTGACTTGACTCCCACCATCATGGGTTCATTGGCATTGGCCACTTTATGAAGTTTGGGATAATGATCAGCTTTAGGAAAGGAAAACTTAATACTAATAATAATCTTTCAATGATAAAATTTATAATATAATCTGAGTTACAATCTGCTAGACAATGTTGCAATTGAATTTGGAGTATTACAACAAGCCTTGTGGGACATGCAAGCTCAATCTCCATTGCCAATTTAATGGTTATTATAGCAGATATTGTAATGAGCTTTGTGATGTTTGAATAAGCCCTGAGTGAGGAGTGCACAGTGTATTACAAATCACATTATAATGGTAATAAATAATTGCATTTTAATGTGACTCTCTTATTACATCAGGATTACAATAGTGCTGCCAAAATTGTCTATTTTAATCCATTATGATGGCTTTAAATGGATTTTCGAAATTTCTGACATTAGTCTGCCCAGGTATCTCTTGCTGTATTATTATTCATGGTCCATATTGCTGTTAGGGCTTCTGCTGCTAAAGCTTCATCTGTGATACCTTTGTCAATTAGGCAAGTCCTAGCTTCTTCATATTCACCAGTTGCAAAGTCAGGCAAGACTACATCATTTGGGTTGTCTAACATAAGAACTGATTGCTAATGTCATCTATGGTGATAGATATCAGATGGATGTGAGTGAGAACAAAGAGAATTATTTCACACCATTTTCTCATATATAGACTATATTCTCTAAAAGCCTTGTTTCTTAGCTAGCTTAGATTTCCAACCTGGGACTATAATGTATTATAGTCTTTCATTATAGCAAACTCTGTATATATTAATTCCAACTGTTTAAAGCACTTCTTATAATATATTAGAGGAGGATTCTGTCAGGGCATTCTCATAATAATCTCATATCCCTAATTGTCACTTTTTGGCCACCTACTGTGGGAATTTCTTCACAACACTTAAAAATGGAATGCTCCTCATATCAGGGCCTTCTCACATTTATTTTACACCTTTTATTTCACATTTTTGGCTACCTATAGTACCCCACTGCACCACAAACATCACCCACTTTTGGAATCTCCATAACATCAATCACTCCCACACCCTCCCCACATCACTACTATTACAATTGACCATGTGTATTAGGTTGATTTTTACCAATATGATTTTTTTTAGTTGTATTATTCTATTTGTTCATTATCAAATACATAAATTTTCCCACAAAGTGTTATCATTCTCAGCATGTTTGTAATCATTTGCAGTGTGCTTGTCATCACCCTCAACTTGCCCACTATTACCATACATATTCCTTCCAAGTCAGTGCTGCTATTCTCCATCCTACCATTGTCATACTCATTATTGCCGTCTACCAAGCACACTTGTGCTGATCAATAGTATTAGAGCTGAAGAAAAATACTGTAAGAAGTATTTATGACATGATAGGAGACAACAAGGAGAGGACAGTCTACAATGTAGGTATATATATGTAGTTGGGACTATCCAAATAATGAACAATGACAAAGGGTAAAATACCAAACTCTAACAAGTAGCTTCTCTTTCATCTGGATAATAGAGTGACTCAAAAAGGTAATGCACAGAACATAAATTACTGCCATTTGTCCTCATATTTCAGCAACATTATATTAATCACTGTTCTGAGTATTTCAATATAATGGTTCATGTCTTGGTTATTAGCAAGATGTGATTTTTCAAGATAATGTGATTATTTGAATTAACTACATGGACTTTTGTAAGGACAATGCTGTGCATTATGAAAGAGTGCCTCCACCACAATTTTCTTGACTACGAACACCCCTGCATCACTCACATATCTATTGAAAGACCTCCTGCATACTACCCATCTATGCCAGGATATTCCACTCCTATGACAAAGGCTCTAATTTACCACAACAAGGTAGCAGGCCAATTTGAAACAGAAATCACCAAAATTTTTGGCCTACATCACACTACTGTGCTCCATATTGTCAAGCAGTACACTTAAACTGAAGGTTACTATGATATCAAGGCAAAATCAGTCCAGCCTTGTAAGTTCACACTCTATGATATTCATGTGGCAGTCCATGCATTAGTGTGCACTAAGGCACATGATGTTGCTAATTTACAAAGGAAATATTTTCCTGAGATCAATGCCCAAACAATCTGGACAAGACTTAAAACATGTGGCTTAAATGCTTACATTTGCTGTACAAAATCCCTTTTGATGGCAGCTCACAAGCCAAGGCAGTTAGAGTGAGCCAAAGCTCATGCTGATTGGTCAGTGGATCACTGGAAGGCTGTTATCTTCTTAGACAAGTCTAAATTTAATCTTTTTGAATCAGATGGCCATTCATGGTGTTGGAGAAGGCCAGAGGAGGAATTTGATCAACAGCATACAAAAAGGTGGTGAAACATGGTGGATGAGTCATGGTTTGGGAGTGCATCACTGCTGAGGGTGTGGGCTAAATTTCTTATATTGATGGCAATATGGATGCTGCCTTATATGTTGAGATTCTCAAGGACACATTCCTTGGGACCCTTACTGACCTTGAAATCAACAAAACAAACATTTATTTTCAACAAGACAACAATCCCAAGCACACTTTGAAACTAGCACAAGAATCGTTCCAGAAAAAAAGGTCAATACACTGAACTGGCCTCCAAATAGTCCAGATATGAGCATTATCAAGCATGTTTGGGACTATTTGGATTGTCATGTCTGCACTCACACACCACTGCCACAGAACTACACTGAGTTATGAGAGGCTTTAGTGGAGGAATGAGGTTATGTTGAGGAGTACATCACAAAGTTATATGACAGTGTAGTGGAGTGTGTTAAGGCTCTTCTTGATGCTACAGGGGGACATACTAAGTATTAGAAAGTTTCATGGCATTATCTTTTGATTTACACTCATTACATCTATTTTTTTCCTAGACCTACTACTTCCTGAAAAGAATTGCACCATACTCTTCATTTCAATCACTCTTTTACAGCTCATATATTGGAGTACATAAATTCTTCTTCATATGACTAGTAACTATGGACCTAGGGCTCTCTGTAGAGCATACTTTCTTAATGCAATCCCTGCAGAAGGATAAGAGCAGTAAAGATTACATAATTTGCACACACTGTGCATTTGTCATATCCCATATGCTAGACCTAGATCTCATAATATTCCCATGCCTCCCAAGCCTATGTCTGGACCCCATATCTAACTCATTCCCAGATCTTCTTTCACTGTGTGCTTTACACCTCAGTAGGATTAGTTCCACTATGGATTTACCCCTGAGCTCCAGACCTCTGGATCTTCACTACTAGCCTGATCCATATACCCCTATCCTGTCCACCCTATGCACATTCCATCCAGCAAGACATCTGGACTTTACCTCCTCTTGGATTCCAGACTACATCCACTTCCTCACATATCTCAGTCCTGTTTCTACCTTGCCTTCTGGATCTCTGGATCTCCAGACCTATTCCTGCCCTCTGTCTGAGATCCTGCACCTATCCCCATTTAGGCATCTCTGCCTTTCTGGTTCTTGGTTATCTCTGTTTCTGTCTTGTTGATTAATCCTTGTACTAGTTTCATCTCCAAGTTCATTTACTTATGTTTTCTCACTTACTAATATGTTTCCACATGCTTGTACATAGCCTTACTCCTTTGCTTACTGATCCTCTCAGATATTCTCTAGTATATAACCCCTGTACAACTCCAGTAGAGTTCTCAGTCTAAATATTATCTTAGAATTGCTCTTGCATCTTCCAGACTTTGGTCTATCTGAGTTCTGTTCTTTTCATAAGGCCTAGGGATGGATTCCCTAGGCTGGAAATCTGGACCTTCAGATTTGTCCCCTATGTCTCTGTCCCAAGTCTAGGAATTGCTTCCCTAGACACCTTTGCAGCACTTACTCTCTCTGGACTTTGGTCCACTTCCTGTCCCTCCAACTCTACCTAAGGGTAGTCTACCTCTGTTTGTTTCTACATAGGACTTTGTCCAATGTAGCCCATATTCCTTCCAGACCTCTGGACCTTCTGTCCTCTGTCCTCTGTCCTCTGTCCTCTGTCCTCTGTCCTCTGTCCTCTGTCCTCTGTCCTCTGTCCTCTGTCCTCTGTCCTCTGTCCTCTGTCCTCTGTCCTCTGTCCTCTGTCCTCTGTCCTCTGTCCTCTGTCCTCTGTCCTCTGTCCTCTGTCCTCTGTCCTCATGTGGTCCATACCTCCTATCCTTCCATCTATTTTCCTCTAGAGGTATTGCCTTGGGGTCTCTCCACTTCCTGTGCAGTGGGAACTCCTCCAAGCATTTCCTGCTAGAACTCTCCCATGCTACTACAGCAGTCCTCCTGCATTCCACCAGAGTAGCCAGCCTCTGGAAGTCCTTTGGATTTCATTGGACCATTGCTAAACTTCATTTGAAATGAAGGACACATACTTGGGTAAGGGGCACAGCATATAAGCTGAGGCCAAGCCCCTCTGAATCAGTCCCTCTCTCTTGAGCATGGTGTAGAGACTTGCACCTTTATATGGCCATTATAGGACAATACACCACCCCTTCCTACACATACTCCAGCTCTGATCCTCAGGATAAGTTACTTGTGCTATCATGCAACTGTCGCACACACACAAATGCACTTGCATGTCTTGCACGCCTGCTCTAGGTCCTCTGCTACAGTCTGTCCACCTGTCCATGTCCTCGCTAAAGTCCACTGGTGCATTTTTATTGTATTCTTATCACTTTGACATATCTTCTGGGCCAATTACAGTGCTGTAAGTGCACACATGCACACTTAGGCGCCATTACATACAGATATCACTACCCTACTCACTTCACTCCCACACTACAAGTATCGCCTAGTGCTCAATATAGAGAAGGGACTTATAGTTTTTTAGAGCACCTTATCCTAGCACTCCCCACCTCTGTGTATTAGCAGTAGTTTGTGCATTAGAACCAAGTTTAAAGGTCCCAAAAGTCTGAATTTGCATGCTACCTGCCCAGATGTGACCACTCTGCGCCAGTTTGATCCCTTCTTCACTGGATTTAGTTTCCAGGTAGCCTTAGCCTCTATGCCTTAGACTCCCATCGCACATGCCATGTTTCCATGCATGCACTCTCACTTTCTACTGCGCCAGTGCACTTTCATGCACATCTTGATTATGCTTCTTCCAGTGTTCACACTTCATGCATCCTCTAGTGCCCATTCAGTTTCAGAGTCTCCCTCAGACATTTCAAGGACTCTCTCTCAGTAGCTGTCCTTTGGGTCAAGTTCTGTCTCACATCCAGGTCTTACTGTAGAGTTCCCTTGGTAGTAGTCAGTTTCTCTCATAGTTTCTAGTCCTCACCTTCAACTGGAGCCCACCACAAGGGACACTTCTGAGAAAACCGGCAGGGTACTCAGGCCCACAAGTCACCACAGAACCAGAGAAGAAGCCATAGCTGCATTTGACAAAGCCACTGCTGCCATCAAACCTGGCCCTCTATTTGTTCCAGTGTTGTGTAATTGCATGTGAAATGTGTCAGAGCCATCACACCCAGACTTTATGCTATTTGACTACACCAGACACCCAGTATCACCTATTATGCTGTAGAGAATGAGATTCCTCTAGGCGTATATCGTGCATATTATGACTCATGACAATTGGTATAGTGCATGACTCACTTCCAATGACTGTCCCACAAAACACACCAGAGGCGCGACACTTTCCCACACTATGCAACACATTCCTGCACTTGGTCACCCTTTGTCATGCAGCATCCTAGAGCATCCATCCATCATCCAACCAGTCCCCTAGTGAGTCCCTTTTTGTTTATTCTCATTATCTGACCATTTCTGGTATTGTACAATATTTTATTCCATTATGGACCCTTACATTACCTCACTTACATACATACAGTGCTTCCTATTCACTTCCGAGCCCTGGGAGTGCACCTAGGCACAGCTTACTGGTTGCCTAGAAAGTTTATATACACTAACCACCATCATGTCAGTTAGTCTCTAGAGTGAGAATCTATCATCATGAGTTAGCATCCATCACTCATCACCCTAGTCCTCGCAGCAAGTCCATTATCATCAGTCTCCTCTCAGCAGCCTTAGTTCACGTCTTTACACCTTCTACCAGTCTATTATACATCTGTGCACAGCATGCACCTTATTCCCACACTTCGTGCACCTATGCACTTGACATTCCCACATGTGCACTCCCAGTGCACTTCACCAGAGTTGATCCAGCATCACTTCATGGATCCTTGCTTTCTTTGCATCCCCTAAGGGTTGAACACATCACTTGGCACACTTCAACCAACATCTAGAGAGTCAGTAGGCTTTCTCTCACCCCAGAGTGAGAGCCCTCTTTCTTTCTTCTGCTCTGCAAGCCAGCAGAGTTGTTGAACCTTCAATGCCCTCATTTAAAGACTCAGCAAAGGAAGAATTGTCCAATAACTTTGATGCAATCAATGACCCTAGGAGCCAACTCCCCAGAGTGTTTCTCAACACACCACAGCAGCCTATTTTTTCTACTCTCTCTTCGCTTAGTACACTAACCACCCTCAGCGAAAACATGCCTGCCACATCAATGTCCACTCTTGCAAGCACACATCCTATCCATGAGGCACTACCCATCAAGCAAGAGTTTGAAACACTCCACATGCCAAACTCAATTCCTGGCAGCACAATAGTAGGTAACCTACCATGCAAGTATGAACCGCAATCCTCCAGCAAACTGACCCCCATCACCACCGCAAATCAGCAACTGATAATGGCTACACTATACAAGATGCCCATACATGGGACTAACAAGGCACTGAAGTTCAATGGGACTACAGAAAACCTTGTAGATTTCATCGACATCTACAAAGGACACACTGATGAAGTAGGCCTCCTTGGGCTCAACCACATCAAGGGTATCATTTGCTACCTACCCCCAAGTGAAAGGGAGCTACAGGGTGGTGTGACAATCATATTGACTCTAGCCTGCAGATGGTAGTTTTTACTATACTTCTCTTGTTGTTACTTTCCTTGGGTTATGTTCGCATTTTTACTGCTTACATAATTGTCTACCCTTTAACTAGGACTCTACAGTCACTACTCAGTTTTCCCTTGTCTCCAGTTCTTGGTTGCTCCCCATTCACTTGGGTTATTTAGTAGCATCCCCTAGTTGTAACTTCCTAATTGTAACTTCTCAACTCCCAGATAGCTCCTGGAACATAGTTTCTGTCTTTGGCTTGAAGTGTCTCCCTTTCACTCATTTTATCTCTTGAGCTTGAGCCTAGTCCATTGATTCCCTTGGGTTGAATGTTCTTGCTTGCAGGTGTAGCAGCTAGGCAGAGCATTGACCATTATACTGGCTGAGTGCTTTTATCAAGTGTTCAGTCAGGTTGTGTCTTTCACAGTGGATTGCCAGAAGCAAGGCTTAGCAACTACAAGGCATTCATCAAGGAAGTCAAGGTAATGTACCCTGGCTGTGAAGGCCCTAAGCATTATGCGCTTGATGATTTTTAGGCAGTCATGCACAATCACATGAGCAAGCCAATGTCCTCAGCCAAAGAACTGAGCGATTATCTTCATGCATTCAGAAGAATTATGCAGCCACTCATTAATAAAGACTGCATAGGCAGGTCTGAATGGGATCACATATTCTTTCAAGGAATCCCAAGTGATGTCCAGATGCAGATCCACATGCCTAATTAAGTATCCTGACCACCACCCATGGGAGCCACACCCATACATGCATGTCTTCAAAGCCAGGCAGTTCCTACTACTGGCCACAGCCACCTCACCAGTGACACAGACCAGTGCGCTAATAACAGACCTCATGAGCTTAGTTGCAATGCCCATGTCCACACAGCAACTAGTGCAAGGCTCTGTAATGAAGTGTGAGTATCAGTATAGGGATGGTAACATGCCCCCACGAGATGACTGCATATTCTGTGGCAGTCTTGAACACTTTCTCAGCCAATGCCCAGAAAAGTTAAGGTATATCAAAGCAGGCAAATGCAAGCTCAGCAACACAACCCAGAGACTAGTTCTACTGAGCAGTGATTACATCCCCAGTAGGGAAGGGTTGCTTAAGGAACATATAGATCAGTATCATGCCAATCACACCGTGAAAGAGGTGCTGCCTAACTCTAGCATTACCATGGGCCTCTTCTACTGTGTGTTGCCAGACATTGAGGTTGTATTAGACATTGGCTCATCTGCATTTGTCCATACCACAGAATCCAAGTCAGAGATGGATGAAGACAATAGAGAAGTGATGTGTGCAACATAAGCACTTGCATACATGACCACTAAACATGATCAGAAACACAGTACAAGGAACAACACCAAAGGTAAGAGTGTGTGATTCAATGGTGTTCAAATACCCAGTGAAGCATGTGCACATCCAGGCCCCACATCCTGACAGGCCACTATAGAGGAGGTGATAGTCTCTCCTGCAATACAAGCCTCGTCAGGCAAGAGCAAGGCACTAGAAGTTGCTAAAATCATGCCACCAACTGCACCCACAAGCACAAAAGCAAAAGATGCACCATCAGTAATGCTGGCAGGCGCATCATCTTTATCTTCATCATCATCTGCACTGCATACTAACACTTCATCTCCATCAGCAGCATCATCGACAACACCACCATCCACACCCATGCCAGCAGCATCAGGAACATATTGATACTCCTTCATGCTCAAGGATAAAGAGGCTGACAAATGTGTTGTCAAGTGCCTCTTAGACACCAGTCTCAACATTCCTGTCAGAGAATTATTTGCCTTATCCCCTGACATTCACAAGCAATTCCATGACCTCACAACCAATAAGCATGTCACAGTAGGTGCCATCTCAGTCCATGAGCTATCTGGTCATCTGGTGACAGACCAATGGATGCACCAGTATGACAAAGTATGTATGCAAAGTGACAATGGAAAAGTCATCATGGATCACTACACGCCCTTACATTGTATTTGTGTGGTGATGATAGGTGGGTGCATGCTTACCTGCATCCTAGATCAAGGTGTGAAAGTTATTGTTATGCCCAGGGAGATATGGAAAGAACTAGGCATTCCACTGTGCTCTGACCATCGGCTGAATATGGAATCAGTAAATATGTCAAGAGACTCAATGCTTGGTGTCATCAAGAATGTACTGCTTGACTTTGGAGGAGGACCTATGTACTTTCAAGTCCAAGTCAATGAGTGCACAAATTTCAAGATCCTTCTTGGGTGCCTGTTCTTTAAACTCACATCATGCCACACATTCAATTTCCCTGACAGGGAGCAAGATGTCTTACTTACTGACCCAAACATGCGCAAGGAATTGTGTATTCTAACCTTACCTTGGGTTAAGCATTGTCCTGTTAAAGGTGTGCAGTACATCGAAAGTATGCACACACATGCACCCAAGGAAGAAGAACAGGGTTTTTAGCTATTGATGATCTGCACCATATGTGGGGAGATGCCCTTATGTCTTTGTGATCCCCACATTCTTTTTCATCTTATGATATTCCACATTCTTGCATCACACCCCACACACCACTACACATGCATGTCACAGGTGCCCATTATCAGCTCTTGAGGAGCAATAGTGCATCATTCTCTGTATCATTATATCAGTTTTCCTTATCATTTTCAGTGCCTAATGCGGCACATTACACATACCTAACATCTACCTGTTCTCATCTAGACTAAGCATCCATCAACACTTTTAATTCCATTTATTCTTTTGAGCCCGTACTTCACATGCTGGTGTATAAGTCAGTTGTGAAGAAGGTTCACACAGTGCCTACTACTATGCCCACAGAGTATAGAGTAGTATGCCAGCTACTGTTAAGGTCATACTCCAAGGGTAACTGGATCCGAAGGGCTTTGGCCTCAGCTCGTGCGCTGTGCCCCTTACCTGAGTATTGCCCCTTATTTCAGGAAGGCAAGACTAACGCGTCTGGAAGGTTGGATGAGTAGCGTAACAGATCTGGATGACTTCCGGATGAGGGATAAGTATTGTAGGGCTAATCTGGATGAGTCCAGACTAGAAACTAATGGTAATGAACTGTTGGAGACAGAGGTGGATACGGATAGACTATAGGAATCAATCCTAAGTCTCAGAGGGTGATGAGAGTAGAGGTACTCAAGTCTGGAGGACAGGAATGAGTAGAACTAAGATGATATTTAAACTGAGGTACTACAGAAGGTTACAGGAGGTTATATACTATAGGTATCTAATGGAATGATCAATCAGCAGAGTCCGAGGCTATGTATGAAGCATGTGGATAGTCTATTGGTAAGTAGAAACAGATCACAAATCATGAAATGGAAATGAAACATAGGTAGTGGATCAGGGAGCAGGACAGATATACAGATAACTGAAATACTGGAGTTAGGGGGTTACCAAAAGGAGACAAGTGCTGGTTGTGGATTCGGATGAGTTGTGGACCAGACCGGACGAGTGGACAGATTGAATGACGAGATATTGGAGGGAGATAAGATGTGGATAGGATTGGAGATAAGATGTGGATCTAAGATGAGATAAGGGTTAGATCTGAGATCTGGATATGTGGATATGACAGCTACCCACTGACCCCTAGCTGGATTGCCCAATTTACCCACTCATCCCCCTGATTTTGTTCCAGGAGTCTGCTATATGCATGTGTGTGTGGAGAAGTTAGATTTGGACCCAGCAAAATGGCTATGGCCAGAAGAGCTCAAGCTAGTACACTGGCTTATTTGCATCCATGAGCTTGCCTTCACATGGGACACCTCAACAAAACCTATTTCCCACCATATAAGATCCCCACAGTGGTGCATACCCCCTGGTCTCAGTAGAATATCCCAATCCACCAGCCACACTCAGCAAAGTAACACGCATCATCAAAGAAAAAATCTTGTCAGGCATTTACGAGCCTTTGATGGTCGCATATTGCTCATGATGGTTTTGCATAGTCAAGAAAGACAGCAAATCACTTTGCCTAGTGCATGACTTGCAGCCACTCAACATGGTAACAATTTGTAACACATTGCTCCCTCCATTTGTCAAACACCTTGCAGAATTGTTTGCAGGTTACATGGTATATGGCATGATGGATTTATATTTGGGGTATGATCAGTGTGCACTCCATGAGGAGTCACACAATTTGATGACCTTTGGGATGCCCCTAGGGCCACATCAGCTTACCACTCTCCCACAAGGGCACACTAATGCAGTACAGGTTTATCAGGGCAAGATGGCCTTTATTTTGCAGCCTGAGATCCTGAAATACACATCTCCATTTCTAGATGACATGCTGGTCAAATTGGTACAAATGCACTACCAGTGCACTGAAGGAATCAACTACTAAGCTATGGCACTACAAGGGATGCCAAGTCAGAGTATATGTGTGGTTGTCTCAGCTCTGCCTAGGCTGCTATACTTTGCAAAGGCAAGTGCATTCAACCCAAGGGGAAGCGAGTGCAACACATCCACAGGTTGCACAAAGCATGGGAAAGTCACATGCACGAAGGTGAAGGCACACACAGAGAGTCATAGGGCGTGTGAAGCACAGGAAAGTTGCGCACTAATAGGAAAAAGTGTGCAAAGGGCTAGGAATGTGATGGGGACTGGGGGAAGATGATGACTGATACTGATGGGTGCAAGAACAACAAATGCGATGATGATAGAGTGTGATTGTCAAAATGCTACTGACTATGGCTCAAAAAAGCATGCACTATGCTGAGAGATGCTAAGGGATACTAACTCCTAACTAAGTGGTAGCTAACTCAGTAATAAAAATGCAAATGCTATCATGCAAAAGGCGACTAAGCATGTTCCCACAATGCAGAGCCGATGCAAGTAAGGTGCAGGAATGAAGAAGGTATATGTAAGTAAGGGTCCATGATGGAATATGGTGTCATGATAAGAATAAATGCGAAAAACATACCAGTAGGACTTGCTGGACAATGGATGAATGCTCCTGGATGATGGGCGATGAAGCGTGGGAATGTGTGTGGGAATGCGTCGCAGGAGAGTAGCGTGCGCATCATGCAATGTGCAAGAAGATCGCACATGTATAGGCTGAGTGAAGGAATGATATAGGGAATGATGCTGCAAGTTCATGCTGTGAACTGTATGCAGATACATTGCAATATGGGGCTCTACAGGCATACAGAGGCACAAGTCTCTACACCGTGCCCACAGCTGTGATCATAGGGCACAAGTGCACATTTGAAGGTAGAATACCTGAGGACTCCAAAGTCCAAAAGATTAGAGATTGGCCAGAGCCCACTAACCAGTCACAAGTGCATGGGTTCTTAGCAACCTGCAGTGTCCTTCATATCTTCATCTGCAACTTCTCACGTATTGCGTGCCCACCAATTGACCTCACCAGGAAAGATGTGCCTTTCATATTTGGACCAAAAGAGTGCAAAGCAGTCCAGACCCTGAAAGACTTGATATTAAAGTCCCCTGTGCTCCAGCACCTTGACTATGAGAGCAACCATGAAGTCATCTTAGTGGTTGACATGTCCAGCATTGCAGTGGGTTTTATTCTGCTGCAAGTAGGCAAAGACAGCAAGAGATACCCAAATTGCTTCAGCTCTATCACACTGATGGAAGTTGAGAGCTGCTACTTGCAAGCAAAGCTAGAGCTCTATGGACTGTTCTGCACATCTTCATATTCAGCATAAAGAACCTTATGGTCGAAGTGGACACAAAGTATGTCAAAGGTATGATCAATGATCCTGACTTGCAACCCAATGCAACTATCAATTGATGGATCACGGGCATCCTCTTATTCTCCTTCAAACTCATTCACATCCCCACGACTAAGCACAAAGGTGTTGATGGCCTCTCAAGGAGGCCACCTGTAAATAATGATCTCCTGGAAGACGATGATCATGAGGATTGGATTGATTGCACATACTTGTTTGGTGTCATGCTTCTTAATGACAGAACACACTGCATCACAGGCGGCTCAGTTGACCTAGTCCACCAAGTGCACTATATGACCTTTGTCTCACAGATGGCACACATGCCAATTATGTGCATATTCCTTGATGTTGTTAACAAGACAGGAGGTGAGCCTAGTATTCCACACACAGACACCATGCAAGCATTAGATGCGCTAATGCACAAAACACAACATTTCCTTATCATGTGTGAATGACCCGCTGACACTTCAGATCATGAATTCACAGTGTTTGTTAACAACACAGCGCACTTTTTTGTGCTAGAGGACAATCTCTGGCAAAGGGAATCCCACAGGAAACACCAGCTCATTCTGCAGCCACAGAAGTGCTGCTGTGTTTTCAAGGAAGTGCACAATGACCTCAGGCACAAAGGCATTTATATTATATGCACACTGTGGATAACACAACTTGGCTAGATACTTGTTAGAATATCTAGCCATTATATGTCTACTAGTCCTGCCTAGCTGCTACACTTGCAAGCAAGAATGTTCAACCCAAGGGATCTGCTGTCTAGTCAAGTTCAATAATCAGTACTATGCAAAAGGGTCAAAAGTCCAAAGGTCAGGAATCAAGTCCAAAGGTATGGGGCACAGTCCGATGCTGTCATATGCCATTCTGGACCCTCAACTCTAAATCTGCTTCTCCAGACATCCAGATCCAAGATCCAGATCTCCAATGATCTGATCTATCTTTATCTTCCTTCCAGAATCCAAACTCTATATCAGCACCCAACCCCATTTAGACTTCCCCTGTCTCTGGACTCTGGTTAACTATGTTTCCCTTTTGATTATTGATCTGTTACATACATTTCATTTCTGATGTGCATTATTTGTGATCCATCCTACTTACTAATAGACTTTGCATATGCTTCATACATAGCCTTTGTGTCTGCTGACTGATTCCTATATGATACCTACAGTATATAGACCTCCTGTAACTCTTGGAAATACTTCAGTTCGAATATCATCTTAGTTCCTGCTCATTCCTGTGTCCTCCGGACTTGAGCCAAGTCTCTTGTCACATTCTGAGTCTTAGGATTGCATCCTAGACTACATCTCCAGCTCTACCTTAGGGTAGTCTATCCCCTGTTAGTTTCTAGTCTGGACTTCATCTGGATTAGCCTTATCCACTTGTCCAAATAACATCCAGACATTCATTGGATTTATCTCATGTTTCAGATCCAGATGTCCATTATCCACCCTAGTCACATCCTGGAAACCCCAGACAACTATTCTAGCCCTCAGAAATTAAGGGCACATACTTGGGAAAGGGGCACAGCATATAAACTGAGGCCAAGCCCTTGTGATCCAACCCCCTTGAGCACACAACCTTAACAGATGCATGGGAAATTGGGTCTGCAGGTGTGGAGATGCAAAGATGGTGGAAGATAAGGGAAAGGAAGGGAAAGCATCAGGACTAGTTTGGAGATGTCAAGGAAGATCAAGTGAATGAACAACAATCATATTGGGTCAAGGAGAGCAGGTAAACAGGTATATTAGCCAGGGGTAACTCTAAGGACAGGTATGGGGTGACCAGTATCAAGGATTTCTCTCTCCTACTAAGTGATGATTGTGATTCTGGTCGCCCAACCCTATATAACTATCTATGTGAAAGTCTGGAGTCCATAGGTGAAAGTAGTAGCAAAAACTGCAGGTCTGATAATATGTAGGTAAAAGGCCATGAGGTACTGTGGCCAGTGGGAATCCATGTAATAATGCTGTCTACTCAATCAGTAATGAGAAATAACTGACTACGCACCAGTAGGGATAAGCACAACTGGACTGGACACAGTAGGACAAGTGCACAGGATCTCTGGGTGGGTCTAATGCATTAGAGATGCAGAGATGGCAGGAAAGTGTCAGAGTGGGTAGGAGATGTGCAGACTGGATGGGGATCACAGAATAGGGTCCTAACAGGCCAGCCTGAACATGATCATCACAACACTTTCAATACTTGAAATCAATATGACTGGCAGAAGCATATGTGGTCATGGTTGGAAGCAAAGAAATTTCTGACTCTGCCTATAGCTGCTCATGCCACCATCATACAGTTGTGATGTATTTATTGTAAAGTGGACCAAATACTGGTTACCAAATGGGCTCTAAAGCAAGTGTACTTTGGCCTTGTGAGTCTTAAGCTCCAAGCTTTATGTAGTGCTTCTAGGGCTGCAATGGCGAGGTGTAGGCTTGGGTTTCAATCAGATGAAAATGCTTGTTGATCATTGTTGGTGTGCTTTAAATGGGGCATAAATGTCATTATTTGAAGTTTTGAACACAGGAACAAGTATACTCACAGCGAGGAGATCAAGGAACAATTTGACATGTTCCCATTCATCATTCTATAGCTCTAACTACTAATCTTCTTCTGCTTCTCTAGGTTTGGCTCCTTCAGGCACATTTCATAGATAAATGTATTGATGTACTGTAGGTGACACATTGTAAATTTTAATGCTGCAAATACATTAATACTCACCTTTTGCTGCACTTCTGCATGCTCTAACATGGTGTATGTTGATGACCATTGGATTGGTATGTTGAGCAGCAATTGCAGGGGGCATTTTGCACCTTCTCAGATCTGAATTTCCTTGAAAAGCTGCTTGCGCTGGGCTAATGATCATTCCTGTTCATTCTGTTCAGTTAGTCATTTGAATAAATCACTCAAATGAGTCCAACTTCATCCCAATTGTGACCAATAGTACTTGGCATGTGGTCTTCAGGGCTTGCAGGGTTGTAGTGTTTTGTTTTTGTGTGAGTCTTGATGAGCACCTGTGTTACAAGGTTGATAATGTGGGCAAGACACCTAGCACAATATCAAAATGAATATATCTAAAGCTATGACAAATTATGCACCAGATGCAGCATCCCTTTGCATCAAATTCCTTACCAGTCTTCTTTGTAATCTGACTTGAAAACTCATTCATCATTGAGTCATTATTTGTTGCATTATCACAGGTGATGTGTCCAATCTAAACACATGGTGAGTAATGCAAACACTGGTAGGATATAACATTACCTTGTGTGAAATTTCAAGGTGATCAATGGTTTTGAAAAGTACCTGACCTAGATGCCATCCATTGTGGGAGTTATTGAGCCTTGTAAAGCCAAATAGAGCACTTTTGAGTACCCATACTCCAGACAATGGCTCTTCAATCCAGTGACCAGAGACAGCAAAGTATCCATCAATATTGGAAGCTTGTCATGCATCACATGTATTGCTGATTTCACTTTTCATGGCATCACTCTAGTTAAAAATGAGTGGTAGTATCATTCAAACAAGAAATGAAAACTCACATTGAGCTGTGTCCAAAGATATTTCATCTGCTTCTTGAACATCTCAATAATATTGGTGCATGTGACCTTTTGATCTGGAATTTCAATGCTGTTTGTAGATCATGATGCTACATGAATCATGTGGTGAAAGGACAGGTGCTCCAATGCTTGAATTGGCTATGGTTGTCAGTGAGAGAGTGTAATAGTACTATGTAAATTTAACATACCTGGTCAGTAGAATCAACCATTCTGTTGCTGCCTCATATAATACCTGGTCAGTGTATGGCAGCACATGCTCTGCCTTTAGTGGTTGCTCATACAGATGACTATCAAGGCCAGTTTTACTAGGACTAGCATCCTGGATGGCATCACTTTGATGCTTCACGACAGCCTTGGGAAGCATTGATTTGAACTTGCTGTCCAGGGCCCATTTATTGTAGGTGAGCTATGGACATTCAGTTAGCATTGCAGTTGTTAGACATATCAACACTTACCTCATGGTCCTTTTCAGGGTGTCAACAGCATGTTGACAGGTCCTTCACAAAGTGTTTGTGTGGACCCTTCTTTGAGCACAAGGTGCAATCATGATAGGTATGAGGATTGCCATCAATGCCAGGTATAGAATATTTTGCACTAAAAAATGATCAACATCCTGACCCTTCCTATCATGCTTTGGCTTGATTTCATCATTAGAGAGGCTTGTGATATTGATGGCAGCTAGAAATCCATCATCATTGACAGGATCTATATCTGCATGTGAATTTTCAAACATACAGTGAGTGACTAATGTAAATAATATTTGAAACTTACCTTTATTTTTCTTCTTCTGGCATGTAGGCTGCTCTGCAGCAGGTGCAGGATGGCTCTCTTCTGAGTCAGAACTAATGATCACAGATTGATGAGACTTTTTCACCACTGAAAAGACTGTTAAGTGAATGAAGTCACAATGCCAATAATACTTATTTTTTGGTGGTTTTGGAGCAGCTGAACAATCTGTGTCATCTGCACTACCAAAAGAGTCAGTATTTTGAGATCTCTTGGCAAGGGTGACAGAGTGGGAACTTAAAACTGCTGGTGCTGTGGTACTAGCTGCTATTAAGCCTTGCAATGCAGGCCTGGCATCCTTGGCTCACTTGAGGGCAACAGCCTCAAGGTGAGCACTCAGTTGAGGTGTGGCAGAGTTAGAAGCATCCATTAACCTCTTGGAGGGTGCAGAAATCCATTTGGGCCACACTGAGGCCACTGGATTGAGTGACAGCAGCATTACATGACTGATAGCACCAACATTGTGGGTATTGTCATATCCCACAATCTGGACACACGTTCCATCATATTCCCACGCCTTTTGAGCCTATGTCCAGACCCCACTTCATAACCAACTCATTCCCAGATCCTCTTCTGCTGTGTGCTCCACACCTCAGCAGGATCAACTACACTCCAGATTTACCCCTAAGCTCCAGACCATCAGATCTCCACTGTTAGCCTGATCCATACCCCCCTGTCTCATCCACCCTATGCACACTCCATCCAGCAAGACATCCAGACTTCACCTTGTCTTGGATTCCAGGACTATATCCACCTTCTCATATCCAAGTCCTGTATCCACCTTGTCTTCCAGATCCCCAGATCTCCAGACCTCTGGATATTAACTCCGGACCTATTCCCACCCTCTGTCCAATATCCTGTGCCCTATCCCCATTTAGACATCTCTGCCTTTCCAGCATTTGGTTACCTCCTGTTCCATCTTGCTTATTAATCCTTGTATGAGTCTTCATCTCCAAGTTCATTTAGTTATGTTCTATCTTACTTACTAATGTGTTTCCACATGCTCATACATAGCCTTGCTCCTTTGCTTACTGATCCCCTCAGATAGTCTCCAGTATATAACCCCTGTAGATACTCCTATAGTTTCCTCAGTTTGAATATCATCTTAGATCCTGTTCTATCTGCCCAATCATCTTCTGGACTTCAGTCCATCTGAGTCTTATCCTTTTCCATAAGGCCTAGGGATGGATTCCCTAGGCCAGAATTCTGGACCTTCAGATTTGTCCCCTATGTCTCTGTCCCAAGTCTAGGGATTGCTTCCCTAGGCTGGAGTCTTGCCTTTCTGGCACTTACCCTCTCTCCAGACTTTGGTCCACTTCCTGTCTCTCCAACTCTACCTAAAGGTAGTCTACCTCTGTTTGCTTCTACAGTGTGTTATGAACTCAGATAGAGCGTTGTTCCAATAAAGGAATCAAGATCAAGGTCAATCAAGGACTAAGCCTTATTGAGTCAATGCCTCCCTCAGGAGCAATTGTCTAGACTTCCACAGGATCTAGAGTTGAAATGGAACAATGGCTAGCCTCCTTCCCAAGGAGCTAGAGTTCAAGTTATCAGAGAGAACTGAGTAGATTCAAGTTAGAGAAAATACAAGTGGTAACTAGGGTTTATATACATAAAGGAATTGTGCACAGACCAAGCTGGGCAAAGGGTAACTAGTACTGGAAATGGAAGGTTCATGGGAAAACAAGGTATGAGTCAGAGATAAGAGAGACCGTGAGGAAACAGCACAGTGAAAAGGAAGTGTTAGAAGTACAGCCATATAGGAGTCCACAGTGATGATGAGAAAAAGAGTGGGGCACTGTAACACATTGGATGAAGTCCAATGTAGCCCCTATTCCTTCCAGACCTCCGGACATCCTGTCCTGTGCACCTCCAGGTGTCCTATCCTTTGGACATCCTGTCCTCCAGACCTTCAGTCCTCCTGTTCTCCTGTCCTCCAGACCCCCTACCCTTCCATCTCGTTTCCTGTAGAAGTACTACCTTGCAGTGGGAACTCTCCTGAGCACTTCCTGCATTCCTCTAGAACTCTCCTGCACTCCTCCAGAAGTCCTCTAGCACTTTCCACCAGAGTAGCCAGCCTCTGGAAGTCCTTCAGACTTCATCAGACCATCATTAGACTTCCTCTGAAATGAAGGGCACATACTCAGGTAAGGGGCACAGTGTACGAGCTGAGGCCAAGCCCCTCTGAGTCAGTCTCTCTCTTCTTTGAGCAACATGGTTCTTAACAGTTATGAATCTCAATTTGGGCAAAAATGAACTGTACAGTTAATGCCAGAATGGACTGAGAGACTTACAGATATATATATGTACATTAGTCTATCTTTAGCCCAGGCCTGCAGAAGTTGTGGGCCTGGCCCTCAGCCCTCATCAGCCCACTCATAGGGCTGGACTAGGTGGGCCTGTGGGCCTGAGCCCTGGCCCTTCACATCACTACAGGTATGGCCTCTGGTACCCAGGGATTTACCCATGCAGATCCCTCATATGATAGCAACAGTGTGGATAAATTTGGTGGAAAGGGATAGGAGTGGTTGAACAAGTTTATGTTATTCATGTTCAACAAGGACACAGCAGATGTGATACAGTACTAGCAGTCTGTTAAGGTTGCATGCTCAAGGGGGTCAGATTACAAGGGCTTGGCCTCAGCTCGTATGCTGTGCCCCTTTCCTAAGTATGTGCCCTTAATTTCTGGGGGCTAGAGCAGTTGTCCAGAGTTTCCAGGGATTTGACTAGGGCAGACAACAGATGTCTGGATCTGAAATGTGAGATAAATCTGATGGATATCCAGATGTTACCTGGGCAAGTGGATAAGACTAATCTGGATGAAGTCCAGACTAGAAACTAACAGAGGATAGACTACCTTAAGGTAGAGTCAGGAATGTAGTCTAGGATGCAATCCTAAGACTCAGAATATGACAAGAGACTTATCTCAAGTCTGGAGGACACAGGAATGAGCAGGAACTAAGATGATATTTGAACTGGAGTATTTCCAAGAGTTACAGGAGGTTTATATACTGTAGGTATCATATAGGGATCAATCAGCAAACATAAAGGCTATGTACAAAGCATATGCAAAGTCTATTAGTAAGTAGGACGGATCACAAATAATGAACACCAGAAATGAAATGTATGCAATGGATCAATAATCAGAAGGGAAACATGGTTAACCAGAGTCCAGAGACAGGGGAAGTCTAAATGGGGTTGGGCACTGATATAGGGCTTGGATTCTGGAAGGAAGATAAAGATAAATCAGATCATTTGAGATCCAGATCTTAGATCTGGATATCCAGAGAAGCAGAATTAGAGTTGAGAGTCTGGAATGGCATATGACACAGTCAAGGTACAGTTGTGGACAAGCACACTCTGCAAATCTGGACATTACCAAAAATTGATTCCATTCAAGGGTTTCAGAGGCCAAAAATTTGGTGCACCCCTTTAAAAAATTCCTAAATTCATGAAAAATATGCCAATCACTTCCTTTTGATGTCTTGTATGTGATTCCACTAAAATATAATCCTGACCAAATTCTGGTGCAGAGGGTACCTTGGACTGCTCTTGGACCCCCAAAAGGGGTACATAACATTGCTTAAACTGCTCAAAAATCTGGTGCACCAAAAGCCTTGTGGGAAATTTTCCAGAGAAGTGTTTTTAGATGTATTTTCACTACCTGAGTTTGAATCTGGCCTTGGTTTGGCCTTAAAAAATTCACCTGCAGGCCCTACAAAATTTATGGACTTTGCTTGTCCACAAGTGTAACATATGCATTCAGATGGAGCAGTCAGCCACAACTTGAATGTTCCTTAACTCAATGTCATCAATTTGATATTTTCAACTGCCCATTTTGATACTTATATGACATCAACTGAAGTATCATATTATATGATGAGAATTCCAAAAAAAATCTTAGCAAAAACATCCTATCTATAAAGTAAGGTGGAAGGGCATGGGAGGGTGTGGCATGCTCATGTGAAAGCTACATTTTGCCACATGGGATCCTTTGTTTGGAAGTCTCGTGTGGTTTTTTCAAGCACTGACATCCTCTGCTCCGATCCAAGCATGCGCTGTTCAACTGTCCCAATTTTATTTGACTGCGTGCATGTCTTCCATTGGCCAGAATTTCATATTGTGGGACCACATGTGAGTTCCCATTGCTAAGTTGACTTGAATGTGTTGACAGCCACCCCTCTGCAGCTCTCAACAGGCTCCAGGCTGCCCACCACTGCCTGCATAGTCTGTGGTGCAGTTTTCTGCTTTGTCAGACAATGGGTGAGTCATTCCATCATGTACTAATGAGACAAATATTGAAAAAAATCCTTCTGTAGTTCCCCTTGCACCCAGGCCTTGCTTCCTCCCCTTCAGCATGGCTATGCTGCCCTGCCACCTTCCTTGCCTTCCTACTCTGTTGACTGGGAGGCCCAAATGCACCACAACTACCACAACCAGTTTCATGCTTGGCTCCAGTGTCACAAGCTCAATGATCCTTAAAGTAAGACAGCCTGTCGAGAGTGCAGAGGATGCATGATCTCTCCAAGGACACTGCAAGGATCCAACAAACCCTGGAGAGGAGCAAAGAGGAGCATGAGCACTGGATGAGTAAGGAGCAGAAGAAGTTGCAGAAGATGGTTGATAAGGCAAAACAAAAGCAACTCATCAGGGACTGGAAGGACTGGTGGCGTAATAAAAAGGCATGGTCAAGTTGTCAGGCCCAGGTTGATGCCTATGACAAGCTACTCCATCAGGCACCAACACCAGGTTGGAAGTTGCCACCAGGCTGGAAGTGCCCTCCCCCACCCTCAGGAAAACTCTTTTGATAGGTTTCTCTTAGATTGTTTATATTTGGACTATCAAAGAATCTGAACTTTGTCATTTTAAGAATCATGTTATTTGTTTCAAAATCTGCTATAATCATTAGGATGCAGGGATGGGAGGACAGGAGAGCATGGAGAGGAGAGAATGAGGGGATGGGAAAATGGAAGATGGGAGACAGGAGGAGATGGGAGATGGGAAACAAGAAATGGGAGGTATCAAATGTGACTCAAGATAGCATCCAAGATTAGTTGTTGAGTAACTAACAGATCATACTTTTAAATTTGTAATACTGCTGCTCAAAAATGTATTTTTTTTCAGAATCCACTATGGTTATTACTAAGTCCAGGTGCCACAGGCACCTACCAAAGGAGTGCTTTGCACTCCTTTGCCTTACTGTGCCAAAGGCAGTGACTATGAGTATTAGGATGAAGCCAAGGCCAGGAAGCCAAAAAGGAGCACTTCACGCTCCTTTTGCTTCCTGTGCTGAAGGCACAACGGGTGTGAAGCTAGTCTATAAAGTAGGATGCAATGGGTGGGAATTGTCTTGCCAGCTCATATGGCTTTTGCATAGATACACTTAGATACACTTAAGAATGCTTAGCTCGCTTAAACCTCTTTTTGGGAATCTCGCGTGGCTTTCTTGCATGGCCCAGTCATGGGTTTTCGAGCTCCAACTTAATACTGTTGCCCGTTCAAGTGCAGCACATGTCAATAAATAATTGATGAAAAATTGAATGAGAGAACAGGGGAATGGGGGAACAGACCAAAAGTGCTCGCTCCACTCACACCTTTGGCCCATTCCCCCATTCCCCTGTTCTCTCATTCAATTTTTCATCAATTATTTATTGCACATGCTAGGATGCAGCCAAGGCCAGGAAGCCAAAAAGGAGTGCGAAGCGCTCCATTTGCTTCCTGTGCCAAAGGCACAACAGGTGTGAAGCTAGTTTTGTATTAATATGCAAATTTGTTGAGATGTCATACTAAGTCACGTGATGAACTGGTGTATGGAGTGAGGTCTTTATTGAGCTAGAAGCCTAGAACCACATCTAATTGCCACCCTGTGCACCACTGAGCGGCCGGAACCAAGACAGTACAAGCAATACAACATTATGGATACTCTGCAGAGTGCCAGGAATATGTACAATTCACTACGGTATCATATGTAAATGTGAGGAATCAATAAGTGAGCGAACTATGCAAACAAACACTGTCGAAAGCGATTTTGCGGCGATAATAACAAGAGAAGGGGTTATCATAAAATGGAAGACTAACTTAGTTGGTACAGTACGGGACAACGGAACGCCTAGGAAGTTTTCGGGAGAGATATGGATGCAGTCTGCATGCCTGAAGGACCATTCGTACGGGACTGAGTTTGGCGCTTAACTTGTGCTTCCATTTTGATACGTTGCTTTCGGACATCGTCATCTTTCAGCTTCATCATTATAGCTTGATTAAGGAATGCGTCTGCTGTCGAGGGCAGACATCCGAGAGGCGGATGAACAAGGTATTCCATAGCAGTTTCTTCCGATGTGGCTTGTAAGAGCAGATGTCGCACGCATTGAACGAGCGCAAGCCCAACACGAAACAAAAGAGTGACGCCTAATACAAGTATAAATAGGACGAACGATGGAAAAGTATGCCACGTACCTTCATACAAGAAAACGTCCCAGATACGGTGAAGATAATCAACAGGCAACGTTCCGACAAATAGGGTAGAGAACCTGTGCGAGATCAGAAAACATGGAACCCCAGAGGTGCGTATTGATACGAACCAAGACTTTGCTATCGCGCTGGGGGGGATACTAAACGTGACATAGAGCTTTTTGCACACGGCAGGATCATTAACTTCAATGGCTTTGCTGAGCAATGCAGCATCGACTTCCAACTGAATGGTATTGGCCGAGAAGTACGGACGAAGATGGGCGTCCATCATCGAAGCGAATATCCAAAAAGCATCCTCTTCGGGTGATAGCAACAACAGATGGCCAGCTATGGAAGTTAGTCCTGACAACCCCACATCATATCAATCAGCAACGATACGGCGCTCGGACACAACGAAGATGTACCTGAGGTATATTGGATATCTGGCACCATATTGAGATAGGCCTGCAGGAGTGATACTAAAGGACCATCGAAATGATGCAGTTGCGTCTGATCAGGGAAATATGTTTTTGCATCCTTCTCGATATCTGCAAAAGCAGGGACTCTTTGCCTTTTTCCCAGCTGCGCATACACGCCGGGAATCGCGCGAGCTTTACTGTCGCTGAGATGACACCACACCAAGTATCGCACTGACGAAGGCACTCCGTCCAACAAGAGACGCTTGACCTTCTTGTTCCTGCGTGCTTGAGATGGCGGTACCATAGGCAGGAGGGCCATCCACCTGACCTCACGCTGGCGATGGGCATCTATTGAGATAGGTGACTCCACTGGCGGGGTACCCGACGAGATCGCATCGGGGAACAGGGGGGACCGTGGAGCGCTCGAATGCATTGACGCAGCATCGCCCTGCATGATACTGGGGGAATCGAGGTATACTGCATCAGCATCACGTCCAGCATACGAGGATTCTTGACTGGAGCGACCCAACGACGCTTGCGGTAAAGTTGGTTTCACAAGTTCAAAGTCCATGTCTTGTACTTGCACAGTTTCGCTTTCCTGGTTATCCAACGAAGACGTCACGCTCACGGCATCGTCAAGCTTCGATTTGATGTTCATCTTACCACGAAGTGCGGGGAGACTGAGCTTTCCCCGAAGTTGGACTTCGTGTGTAAGGGGCGATGACCGCGCTGATTGTGAGTGCCATTCCGCAATGGGAGGTGGAGATGCCATTTGAGAACGTGAATCGGTAGAATCAGAACTTTGTCGAGGAGGCACACTATCGATAGAGTTCTTCCTCGGTGTGTCCGATGACCCTTGACGAACATTGGTCACCCAGGGATGCGGCGAAGCAACGTTGTTAGTTGACACTGATGTGCGTCCTGTCATCGCAGATGCCGGCGATGCGTCCTTGTCACGATCGCTGAGGTTACTCGGACTAAAGCTGGGCACAGGGCTAGCCGAAGAGCCACCTGTAGACGGAGGCTGCAACCCGAACTTCGTGACACTTGGAATAGGGGATGACTGCTGGAAACCAGGGGAGACTGGTGACTTGAGCTGGCCTGCATTGGGTGATGGAGTATCGGTGGAAGAAACAACAGTATTGTGACTTCGTTCACGATTCAAGTTGCCATTCTGTATGGAAAGAGGTGAGGGAATGTGACGTGCCCTCAAAGAAGCTGGGAGACCATTTGGCGTGGGTGCAGACCTAGATGCAGGCTGCGAAGAAGGGGAAGGGGTGGAAACAGAGGCGGCAGTCACAGATACACTTTGCGCCTTGAACACTGGTTCTTCACGGCTACATCGCTCATCAGCTTCGACTCCTCATCACTGTTCAAGATAAACTCACCTTCGCTCAGGCGAAGCACCAACATCTCCAGTTTCCCCAAAGCCCGAAAATGACCTTGATCTCGGTCGGGCAGCGCCCACCTGCGGAACAAAATTCGGGCGCAAAATTGGAGCCACGGGCGTACTACTACTCGTAGTTGGCTCTTGCACACTTGCAAGTGTCGCCGCTGACCGCCGAGGCAGCCTCAGTGGTGAAGTGCTAGTTGGATGAGCGCTTGGATTTGGACTGGTATCCTTCGCACCGCTAGGTGGTGGTGGCCCACGAAGAGGTCCAACAGCTGCAGATGCAGCCGAGCTCCTTCGTATCGGAGCAGAGACCGTTGCAGCACGAACAGGCGGTACAGGGGCCATAGACGGAGGAGCTGTTACGCCTGGACGAGCCACGCGACCTTGTAATGGTGGAAGTGGGTCCGTTGAGAACAAGATAGGTACGGGACCGGTACTCGAATTCAAATCAGGCTCACAGCGAGCATACAGCGTCACCGGCAGCCTGCGCACGCCAGTACCAACACCAGGACCAAGGGAAATACTCCTGAGGTGGCGGAGAACTTGAACGGAGAATGCTGTGGTATTGGGCGGTAGCTGCACGAGGGGCATTGACCCAGGGCTTGCAGTAGGATGCTGGGCTCGTGCATACATGGGACCCAGCCCCTGGCTGCCTGGAGCTATCTTGGGAGCATTGGGATGAGGGAGGAATATCGATGTACGTGAGAAGGGGTGAGGTGCCTGGTTGGGCTGCTGGGGACGCAGGGTCGAAGATGGTGGCGCGTCTCGGCTTAAAGGTGAGTTCCCTGCCGATGGTGCGCCTGGACTCGGTGGTGACGAAGTGACAGGGGTAAGTGACACACCAGATATTGGTGGAGATGGTGATCCTGGTGTGAGTGCTGCAGGTGCCCGAGGCATAAGCGCAGATGGCACGCCCGTCGTCGATGGCAAGAGCGACGCTGGAGTAACAGTGTGTCCTGTGGAAGCAGTCCCAGTCTCGCTCGATACAAACGACGTATCCCCCTCAATGCTCACATCCTCATCTACTATAGAATGATCTTCATCGTCATCATCCACCACAAGGCGCATTCCCAGACCAATGCGCTGCTCGTGCCCGTTCTCCGTACGTGTGCGCGGCGCAGATACGGCACTGAACCCATTTGTAGGCAACACAGGCGACCGCAGACTCCCTGCATCTGACTGTAGCCCTCGCGACTTACGAGACGTGTGTCCATCATCCGACTCTGAATACCCAGATGACTGCATTTCTGTCTCTTCCGTATAGCCCGAATGGCGTTCGTTAGCACCAAACGATGCATAGAGCAAGGGCGACACCGGATTTATCGCATGCGGGGGCGCTTTCTCCCCTCCCAAACCCACACCTTCACCCTCACCCTCACTTTCATCTTCCATATCCGTGTTCGTCACTCGCAGCCTGCTAGGTACTCCGGCCGGGACTTGGGGGAACTGCGCGCTGAGTGGGGACAACGCTTGCACCGAATAGGTCGAGAGCGTGCGCGTGGACTCGTGGCCTGCAGAGAACTGGCGTGCAACAGGCGGGCGAAGACGCACCTCTGGGCCGTCGACAGGGCCATGAGGTGTATGGTCTGAGGAGACAGGTGAACCTGGATCTACAGAAGATGTTGACTCGAAGGAGGGCCGTGAGTAGATGGAGGCGGTTGGATGGGTATACATAGATGAGGTATTGGCCCGGTCTGGCTGGCTTTGGCTCGAAGTACTTGAAACGCTGGGCCGTCCACTCGAGATGCCAGAGCGTGATAATGCATCGAAGCTGAGCCTGTCTGGCGAGAAGCTCGGTATGGGAGGGACCTTGCCACCACCAGGGAGAAGAGACATGTGTGCTTTCGACTTCACGGAAGTTGTGGACACGCGCTTAGATGAGAAGCTGTGGCGGGAGTAGCGGTAGTCGTCGTATATGTCAGATGCACGGGCCCAGTAGCCCTCTTCGTCTTCGTCTTCGTCATCGTCATCGTTTTCTTCTTCCCCTTCTTCCTCCTTCTCCTCCCCATCTTCTTCACCTTTGTCTTCACCAATCTCACCTTCCCTCTCTAGGTACTGTCCTGGCCCATCGACCTGCGTCATAGTGTCGTCTTGCATAGTCCCGGACTCGAACGATGCATGTGGCGCATTCCTATTCACCTCATGCTCAACAGCCGGGGACGCAGAAACAGAAGGCGTATACTTGGTCCATGGAATGGGTGTGCTTGCATCCGTCGCAGTGCTCTCCTCCGCTCTCTCACTCAAATCATGTCCTCCCCCTCCTACCTCCAGCCGTGGTCGGCCACCATACCCATTTGCATTTGCATTTTCATCCTCATCATCTTCATCGTCCATCGCAAGTGACTCCAAGCAAACTCAGCCCGATGCCCGTCTCCCCGTCTTCCTCTTCCTCCGCGCCTTCCAGATGGCGGTGCAGCGCAGAAAATTGCGTGCTCTCGTCGTGTTCGTGATCATGGTCATCATCAAGATATAGCGAAGAATCATCTGCGTCCGAGTTCGACTCTGGTGCCGAGGACGCAGTGGACGATGGGGATGGCGGAGATTGTGGTATTTCTCCTGGAGGTGGCGGGAGAGGCGAGCGTGGTGGACTGCTCTTTGCGGGGAGCGTGAAAGATGCCAGGAGTGGCGAACGTGACGGGAGAGGTGAGTAAGCGCGCGAAGTTGTTCCCGATCCAGGTGATGGAAGCGAAGGCGACATCGGCGAGAGCATCGGGCTCGCTGGGAGTCGTGGCGACTTACTGAGGCGCAGCGGAGCCACGGTCAGCCCTTTCGTTGCAGCAGGTCGCAAAATTGGTGGAAGACGATGACGAATTTGAAGTGGGAGCTGAGGTCAAGGAGCCGTACGTCGAGCTTGGATTCAGAAATGTTCCTGACATGGACTCAGAGGCGGATGTAGAAATGGAACCTGACGTAGACTGAGACATCGAAGGTGAATGATTCGACAGAGACCAAAGGAGCTTCTCCACAGATCCTGCGGAGGAAGTGTGTGTCGAGCCTAAAGAAGGAATGGATTGCGCACTCGAGGTAGCTGGGGTGGAGTTTAATGAAGACGTTGGCATTGAATCTATTGACGAAGACGAAAACGAAGTAGGCACTGATTTTGTGCTCGACGAAGCCTGCACTGAACCAGACGAAGACGATGGCACCACTCCGTTCAACAAAAACGAATCCTCGCTCCTACGCCACCCATCGCCATCGGAGAACATGGTCGAGGCGGTGCTTGACGTTGATACAGTTGAGTACACAGACGACCCAGACCCAGACGCTGTCAACTCCTGTGTACGGCCCCTCGTTCGCTCGTATTCCCTGAAGCGCTCAGGGGAGGACGAGTATAGATACATGTCAGGTGAAAGCGGCTTCTGTCTGACCGGCGAGCCCCCGGAACGTGAGTCTGAAGCACTGTCGGCTCTTGCCAATGAACTTCCGGGACGATTTACATTAGAACTGCCTGCCCTTGCGCCGCTGGAGTTCTCCGGCCACGATGGTGATGCTCGCTCAAGTGACATGGGACGTGTATCTGCAACACCAAGGGAGCCTCGTTTTGCCATGATAGGACGCTTGAGCTTCCCGTGAAATTTCACGTCTGTGCCAGAGAAACGTCCCACGACACCTTCGCAGAAGCCCTGGTGGTGAACCGATGTTAGTGGTGTGTCGACCCAAAAGACAGAATAAAATAAATGGGTATGAAAAGATTCAGAAGCATTAAAAACATGGCGAACGTGTAGAGAATGTGGTAAAAACAAGCGGAGACATAGACTGGAACAACAGAGAAGAACACGCACCAAGTAATACCCAATTTCAGGAAGCTGCATCAACACCGTGATTTCATCGTCCTAGGGGCGAGATATATTAGTATTTTGAAAAAAAGCATTCCACGGAGACAGTGATTCTAAGACTCAGATGGGTGCTCCCTCACGGCCCCATTCGAGTAATACGAGATTGTATGTCTCGGTCAAATTATCTTGGCTCCTGGCTGAAACTGGACCCAACTGGATCCTCAACCAAACAGCTAAAACACTACAAGAAAATGAACCGCTGTACTCAAACTCGCGCTCACCTTGAGAAACATGAGATCACCAATTTCCCTTGCGACACAATCCACGGTCGCTGTACAACGCCCAACGCCTCCTTTGGCAGCAAAGCGTGTCCAGCGGGCAAGTTCCTGGGCAGCCATACGCTGCCAGTTGGTGCTTCCGGTGGTGGATACAGTGAATATGAGAACTTTTCAGGTAGAGCAACAGACGTTTTGGTTGGTGTGCGGAGCCAGTGTCACGTTCCCGGGTATGTAACTGGTTATATAGGGATACCACGGATATCAGTCAAACGAAATTGCAGTCGTAGACGATCGTAAACTGTGAAACGAAGAAAAAGGAGTAAGTATGTGTTTCTGTCAAGGTTCGGCCTGACAAGAGTCTAGATCAGAAGACAGGACAGGCACAGATCTGTGGAACATCACAAATCATAGACACCTTAAACGCGGGAGCACACGTGGCAGGACTCACGCTCGGGGCACTCACCTGTGAACTAGCTGTGCTCAACGTCGCCAGAGCTCTCCTCGCTGCTGTGCACAACCGTGACACTGACTCGGAAAAAGAGTTTGAATAATTAAATGAGATTATATAAGCTGTGTTATCCTCGTGCCCTTCCGTAATCAAAATACGTACGAAACCTACTTGGCACCTGCATGATACGTTCTCGTTGTTCCGTGTAGTCGGAATCTTCGAAGCAACGGCGCGGTGCTGAGTTACGTCTGTAGCTGGCCAGCTAGGACTATTCGAAGATTGGTGACTTCCTGCATCGTGTAACAGTGTTACAGTCTTTGTTTAGTAGCCGAATAGCCGACAATGCGGTACCGCATATCAAACTGCAAGTTTTAACTTGCAGTTCCATATGAAGGGGTAGTATCATTGTATCAACTCCATCAGTAAAACGATGAGTATTTGACACGATATAGATTCAGAATTGAGTTCACATCACATTGATCTTGACTTGCTGCCCCCTGGCCCCTGGCAACAGTGTGCATTCTCTCTTGTGTGATCAATTTCTAGAGCACCACTGACGGTCTACCAACATGATTCTATGGTCTGGCTGTGCAGTAGTGTGGCCCCACAGCAGCCTTGTGTCCTCCTGCAAGCACTAGACAGCAAGTGCCTACTCATCCTTCAACTGCATTCCACAACCATTCGGTGAGCTTTCCATAGCAAAATATATCAAAACATCTATCTATCTATCCCATCTTCATCATGTTTTGCACTCTCCATCAATTGGCAGCCTGGATCGTTCCACAACCCAAGTCTTGTCACAGCTTACAATAATTCAAATTTTCATACATTGTCCCTCCAGTTAGCTATTGCTAAGATTATTTCTAACCACACCCTCAAACCCAGTTAGTACTTTCAGTTGATTCATTGCATATTGCAGTATGCAACTTGAACCTTCATCAATAGGTGATGATCAAGGTCAGTGCTTCCATCTCTTTTCCCTCGCAAACTCTCTGACCTATTTGACAGTTCTTGAAGGAATTTGGGCAAGGCTGTCCAAGGTCGCTGTCAAGGGTGCCCAACACAACTCCCATGAATGTCAGCCCCACCCAAAATGTTTGCAAGGGACACAGGTTTATCTCCTCAAATACATCCATGAATTACTAGACAACCCAGAGAAGAATTAACTCATTTGGCTGCATGGCACTACTGGTGTTGGAAAGTCTGCTGTGGCGTTTACAGTAGCTGACAAGATGAAAGATCTAAAAGTAATCAAAGACACAAAGGTCAAGATGTAGCTAGCAGGAACATTCTTTTTCTCACACAAGCACACCAAACACTGCATAGCTGAATATTTCTTTGCAATGTTTGTCTACCAGCTTGTCACTAATTTTCCAAGCATCCAGAAGGATGTGTGCAGAATTATCCACGAAGATCCTGCTCTACTAGATCCAGATGCGCCTCTCTGTGACCAGATGAAGGCTTTCTTTCTTCAACCTCTCCAGAAACTCCAATCCAGATTGCGTGGGTGTCTGCCCTTGTTGTTTATCATCAATGCTCTTGATGAATGCACATCGGAACCCAAGGTTAAAGATCTCATCATTTCCCTTGCATGGGCTCTTCATGAGCCTGATCTGCCCATGACCCACATTCTGCTCACAAGTCGCTCAGAAACATATATCAACAAAGTCTTTCAGAATAACAAGGTATGCCCATTGGTGCGCAAGATACCCATGAGAGCAGGTGGCATCATTTCATTGGACAGCGCAGACATTGACAATGATATCCATATCTTCTTGTGGCATTCCTTCAAAGAGCTGGGATGTCACCATCCCAATTTCCCACAGCCATCAGAGGTTGACCTTGCAAAGCTGGTGAGCTGAGCAGGCAGACACTTCATCATGGCATCTATGATGATGAATTATGATAGACAAAGATCCCCGCGATTGGTTGCAGCTTATGCTCAAGCTCATGAGCAAGCTGCTACCAGGAATGGAGGTGTACAAGTTATACAATTGCATCCTCTCCACATGTGCCAACCCAAAGTGGGCTTACATGCACTTGTCCATTGTCACTGCCCTTGTAGACCCTCTTTCCATCTTGCAAATCTCAATACTTCTTGGCCCTGGTTTGGGAAGGGATGTACAGACAATGTTGGTACAGCTATGGTCTGTCATGGATATCCCCACAGACAACACTCTCCCCATCAATATCTATCACTTGTCCATTCACAACTATGTCTCCAACCCCTCAAACTGTGGCCTCCCTCAAGTATGTGATATTGCATCACCTCACTCCCTACTTGCATGTTCCTCTCTCTGCTTGATGGTGATGGCAATTCTAGCAAGCACAGCTCTCTTAGATGCACTCACAGAACTGCAGGAGCAAGGCAAAGCTATGCAACCCAAGGACCCCCATAGGTTAAAAGACTCATTAGCATTCCTTGTTCAGCCACCAGAGCCACTGTCAGCTGTAATCTGTATGCTGTGGCTTCGAGGAGATCGCACTTCAGACATGGAATCCTGGCTGGGGACTATGGACAGGCACACCTGGCTGCAGAACCAGGCAGGACAAGACTGGCTGCATACAGGAGGACAACAATGGCTGCAGGACCAGGCAGGATGAGACTGGCTGCAGATGCAGGAAGGCCAAGAATGGTTGCAGATCCAGGCAGGATAAGACTGGCTGCAGACAGGAGGACAAAAATGGCTGCAGGATCAGGGAGGATGAGAATGGCTGCAGACCTGGCCAGGACAGGAATGGCTGCAGACCTGGGGAGGGTGAGGCTGGCTGCATACCTGGGGAGGACAGGAGTGGTTGCAGAATCAGGCAGAACAGGACTGGCTGCAGACCCACAGAGGGCAGGACTGGCTGCAGGCACAGGGAGGACAAGACTGGCTCCAGACCCAGGGCAGATGAGACTGGCTGCAGAACCAGGTAGGATGAGACTGGCTGCAGACACAGGGGGGATGGGTCTAGCTACAGGATCAGGGAGGATGAGAATGGCTGCAGACCAAGGGAGGATGAGACTGGCTGCAGACTTCCCATGGTCAAGTGTGGCAGTCCACTCCTGCAGCATCTGTCTGGGTGACAATGGAAGAATTCATGAGGATATCAGAAGCAATCAGTGAGTATATTGTTATTAGCGACTTGCTTTTACTGCCAGCTTTCCAAGTAATTCGGCAGTTCAAGACCTTGCCAGATTTCTTGATGTTTCTGGTGTTCCTGGCATTAAGACACCACCATCATTCCACCTCTGCATTACCAGAAAGTCTTCTTCTACCAGACAGGGAGATAATTCATGCTATGAATGCCTTTGAGAGGTTTGCAAACAAAGCACAGGAACAAAGTCAATCAGCTTCCGACACTCTCAAATGCCTGTCACAACTGGGCTGTACATCTCTCACATGCCCCTCATCCATGGGATGACATGCTGAACCATATATTCCAGGCTTTTTGGAATGATCATATCATCCCCTGGTTGGAAATGGAGTGGTGTTTGAATGGTGTGCAGTCCTGCCTTGTCATGTTATCTGAAGGGCAGAAATTTGTGAAGGTGTGTGTTTCAATGATTCAAGGTAGCCACAACTGATGTTGTTTTATGTTCCATGATATTTAGTGAATTATCTCTTATCTTTAGTCCAGACTCTCGAGCTGTTGATGTGCAGCCCAGCATTAGCAGTCGAATCTGTCACCCCTACCCTCAAGTCCTCTCAACTTTTGAGCAGTGGTGTGTTCAAAGGCCTGGTTGCACTATCATAGAGGTTGCTCATGACTGTAGTTTGATGGTGGGACTATGTATTTTTGCATCTGCTGTTTGGAACAAGCATAATTCACCCATCTTGTAATGTATGGTATTGGGTAGCCTGGTAAAACCACTACATTGCCAGTGTTGTATTGAAGCATAGAAACTGAATCTTCCATCTGACTACAATCAATAGCCATGAATGGACAAGTGAATTCAAGCCAGTGCATGATTTCACGATCTGAAACACCTATACTTTCCATACTGTAGAGTTATGACCGTAACTTCATCACATGTCCCACCCCACAGCGAATCGAACTATTTGATGTGATGGTCACACTAAATTTCGGGGAGTGAAGCTATTTTGTGACACATGGTAAAACAGGAAAAATCGCCAACAAAAAAACCAAAAATTGCTACAGACAGTTAGACACGAGATTCATTCTGAAGGGTCAAAATTGATGGACATGCTGAGAAAAGGCCAAACTCACATGGATTGCAGCTGCCAGGGCGAAGCCAACTTGGATAGGTCACACGTCGCAAGGGCCTACGAAGCTGCGAAGCTAAGTGTGACATAGTCACACCCGAAAGGGTGCGAAGCTACGGTCGTAACTCTACAGTATTTCCTTCTTAGTGTAGAGGACAGACGGGACTTATTATGGCCTGTCTAGGGTGGACTACAAACGAGCATTACTTTTTTCTATAAAAAGTTGTGTCAATCAGTCTTTCCAACATGCATGTTCCTCAATCGATCATTCTCAGTGATACGGTCAACGCTTCTTGTCGGCGTTTACAGGACCACCGAGCGGAGTAGGTATTCCTGGATATTGTACCCAAAAATACAGTGCACCTAAGATCACATATAAAGGGTATAAATCAGGTAAAATCGAAAAATACCCCCGATGTTGTCTCCTTCAATGTGTACTCAGCATCGGCAGGCGTTGTCCAGCCTCATCTCAGCCGCTCGGAATAGGTTGTTTCCCGAGATACCTATATTAGTCGGACGGATTGGTCCCCTCCTCCCTTTGCTACTAGTACCAAGGCTAGCGAACCGTGCCGTGCCGTCTATGTCCATTTCTCGCTCCGCCCGCTCGGGTGGACGCTAGTACTACTTATTCCAAGCATTTCGCCTATCAGCCCAGAAGCTGGGAGTTGTTGGTGGAGTAAAAATCAATTCAAAGTGGAATGTTACCTTTTTGAATCAAGACTCACTGAAAATGTAATTGCAAAAAAGGTGAGCCTATCTGCTCAACTTGCGAGTAAAAATCAAAGACATGCTTCACTTAATTTACCCAAAAAAGTGAGATAAGTGAGACAACAGTGAACTCGACGTTTACTGATGATAAAATTGTCATGATGCCACCCACATCGGTCACCCATAATTTGAACCAAAAAATAGCGCAGCAGACTCCAAGTAAGGTTCCTGCCGCAATCTGTGGCCATGTGTGATGGCCCAGCCGAACCCTTGACACAGCTATCATATATGTCCACGGTAAGACAACCACTGGAGCGAACACAACGAAATGAGGAAAGGTCGGGTGGGTGGGTAGCTCAAGGCAAGCAAAGGTAATATATACAGCGAAGAAGGTGCACGTGGATGCATGTGAGCTTGGCATCCTGTGTTGACGATGTGATCAGAAGTCTGGAAGGGGATCAAGTTTCCGCACCCATAAGATACTCTACGGCCGGAGCACTGTGATGGACGTTTTTGTCGTATTGCTTTCTTGATGACCTTAGCAAGTTTTGAACATAACAATGCGCCGGTCACAAAGAAAGCGACTCCTGCAGAGCGGGTATAGAGAAGAGCTGCTGCAGTCAAGACAGTCACGACTTTTGATGTCTGCAGAATGGGCTCAGCACTTGTTCTCGGTTCTGAAAGCAGGCGCATACTTCATCTAGAAACTTGAGCCACAGTGGTAGCGCTGCTCCCATAGCTAGTATGTCGTCTGAACACAAAAAGGGAGTAAACAGCGAACGCTCCGCATAGAAAATACTCGGCCCTCTTATTCATTTCATGATGTAAGAGCCACAGCGTGCGTGACGCTGATTCGTATTTAACCATTAACTTGGCTCACAAACAGTGAGAACAGACATCACTATGATGACAGGAAGCTTCGAGTAAATTTGTTTCCAATGGTAAATAATGATCGGCGAAAATCTGAAGACGGTACTTTACCTTTTTACATTTAATCATCATTCGGATAACTTCGCGGTACTCGTGGTGTACTATCATTTGGACAGGATGTGCATAATTTTGATAAAAGGCCACGTAGTCACTCTATAGGACCCATGAGGAATGGGACAGCGCCCACTACCTTTTTTATGCATTTGCGCATTGCTGGTGAGCTCTGATTGGTGTGGTACATTTTTCTGGGTGTCTCTGATGTGATTAGATTTGTTGCATAGAATCGATAGGCATGTCATCTAAGTTATGATGAGTCGCCCCGTGGCTGCACTAGTGAGGTCCGTTCTATAGAACGAACCTTTTCACGGCCCGGGTAACCCTGGATCCTCTGTTTCCTCCTCGTTGCACCTCTTTTTCGGTTTGCGTCATGACTTATCCAGCAGATTCCAATCCTATCTCTCCTTTTAGCCAGCTGAGAAACGCCCGCAAAAACAGACTCAACGGTTCCAATCAACGCCAACAGATTCACTAACTTCCGGATGGTGATTATTATCATTTTTCTCGTCTAACTCGTCGCCATCTCTAGGAAGATGGTATATCTTCAGTGCCCGAGGAACGCTACAGTCAACACCATCATTTGCAGCATCAAACAAGGCACTCATGTTTTCTTGACTATACAATACATGCCATGTTGATACTGCGGATTGTTCTCCAGAAACAAATTGATGAGTCGTTGCACCCTGCTTTTAGTGACTGACACGTATTTGCATTGACTTAACTGTATGCCTGGTAAGTACTTACTTATGACCAGCAAAAATGACGCACATGGTCCAGGTGTCAATTCGACAGGACTAGGCGGCAATTGTTGGCAATTTGGTAGAATCCTGCACTCTCACTGCAACATTCCCTTTGTTATATCGCTGAGAAGCCTCTTCTGCGGTCCAGTCCGGTTCTGTCCAAACGAACGCGAGCTCGAGAAATCGTAAATCAAGGCTTCCAAAACATGCTACGTGGATTGACGGTGCAAGCCTCTCGTGCTCGTGATATTTAAAATCGGCCCACCTCTCCCATTATATTTGTTTAATGATCATTTAGCGTACCATAGTTCTTTGAAAGTGTGGCCCCTTCGAGCAGTCATAATTTTAGCGGAGTCCTTCATTACAGTTGCGTCGAATAGCTACTTGTTATGTCATTGGCATGTTCGAATTTCGTGAGCAGGTTTCCCGCCCTCCCGAGCGGCTCCACCTGCTCGCGTACCACCCCGAGCTGACGCTCGGCCCAGCCCAACCTGTTAGAACATGTCAGCGACACTAGAGCTAGACGAAGCTGGACGTCCAGAGAGGTCCGGTCGGCTGACTACAACAAGAGATGACAAATCAAAACACCCGTTTGAACTGAGTCGGCCCTGTGTGATCGTCATCACCGACAGACCTCTAACTGGTCCTAGTATGGTCCAGGAACTCTTGCTGGAACTTCGTTTTTTATGTAACTTGCTCGTGGCGAATAGTATTTGCTTCTATTAATCATGGGGGCCCGCGGAACAGGGTGAGCTTGCAGTGACCTTTCCGCGTCTCGACGGTCTTCTCTATTTCTTCGCCATTCCTTTCGCACCCGCCAGCTGCTTTTCCCTCTTGGAGTGGATAAATGGGATCTTCAGGATCTACTATTTCGCTCGCAGTGGCCCACTCCTTTTCATTCTCATGTACAGACTCCTCGCTTTGTCCGAGTTGAACCGTTTGTCCGACGCGCTGCGTTTGCGTCCTAGGTTCAAGCCTCACGCGTTATGACCTGATTGGCTCCCACCCGCTCACCACATCATGCAACCATGGGTCCGGATACTATAGCCGTTTTGTTTCTATACATTTCTGGATGTCACTCATTCCTCCATCCAGTCATTAAGCTACAAAAGCATGGATCAACAAGGTTGTTTTGCTTTTCTGTGACGGACTGCCCCATTTTTGAAGCGGAGTAAAGTGAGTCCAGTTTATTAGCGATACCATCAGCAATGAATGTGTTGGCATATTCGCAACATGTTCTCCGAAGTGTCGTCACGATTATAATTGTTCCACTCGCGCGCCAGTATTGATCGATACTGCCGACGTGGCCGTGCTCGTGGCTGGTACCCAACGTTTCTAGCTTTCCCTTGGTGCGCTGATTCTTTTTATAGATGATCGACTCATCGATGAAAAAGAAGTGCACTTGTGCGTCAGCATCTCGCCACTAACCTGAGTCGATGACGAGGAGCATTCCGCATTGGAAGCAGGCGACAACATCGACGCCTCAAAGACTCCAGTGTAAGTTTCTTGCAAGACCAATAAACCTGAAATATGATGCAAATTTCGAATTCCCATACTAACACACGTGTGCGGACCCGGAGTCAATCGATTTTGGATGTTCAGCTGTAACAAGTGGTTTACCTAGTTGCCAATCAAAGCTCGCTGTGATAATCCTGAACTACCCGGAACTCATGGGATGAACTGGTAGATCTGCCCACATCATAGTATAGGGTGTGGAGGGGCCAATAATTTTTGGCCACTGCACAATTTGAAGTTGGTGACGCGGCCAAGTGACGGCGTAAGTTGAACGCTTACCATGCAAAGTGTTATGATGCTAAAGTCATGCCAGGACGAGAGGACCTAATACTCTATGATGCCAAATGAAGAAGTATATAAAGTCGGACGTCCGTCCTCAACATACTACACAGCTTTTACGGTTGATCATTCTGATACCTCACAATGGCACAGCCCGATTTCAACACGATTCATGACATCATCGCTCAAGCTGTCAACCGCTATCCATCACACGAGCTTTCTTTCGTAACCTCCTCCGCACATGACTCCTCCATCCAAACAAAGACTTTCAGCGCATTTAACCAACATATTCGTAACCTTGCACGCGCAATGCTCGAGTGGGGCAAGCCCACCGGTTCAATTATCGTTGTGTACCTTTCCGAACACGAAGACAATATGGCTACCATCTGGGCTTGTCTCATAGCTGGCTATGTCCCTTGTTTGCAGCCCGCACTCAGTGCTCAACAGGCGCACAAGGAGGCACATGTTGCTCACATCAAGAATCTGTTTGAATCTGCAATTTGGCTCACCAACGAGCTTGGTGCTGAGCAGATTAGCTCCATTGACGGGCTGGAAGTTCACCTGTTCTCTGACCTGAAAGCCTCCGCAGAAACGTTCACTGTCACAGCTGACTGGATTGCGTATGAGCCCAAGCCTGATGATCACGCGATGCTCTTTCTGACTTCAGGCTCGACCGGGTTCTCAAAGGCGGTCGTGCATACGCACCGTAGCATTCTTGCTGCTTGCCGTGCCAAGGAGCAACGCTTCGGTCCGCCTTCCGAGTATCGGATCTTGAACTGTGAGACAACCATCGTTGAAGCTTTCTTCTAGAATTAACTATGACCGTCAGGGGTAGGATTTGATCACGTCGCGGGGACTTTGGAAATGCACGTCACACCTCTCCTGTATGGTGCTTCGCAAATCCATGTGCATGCATCTGTTATTCTGTCCGATTCCGTTCGCATGCTTCGTCTGATCGACGAAAATGTATGTCACAATCTAGCCGTGGCTTCCACTTATCAATTCATCATGCTATTTTCTTAGTCCATTGGTCTAGCTTTCGCACCAAACTTTCTGCTGGCCAAGCTTACTCGCGATCTTGAAAAGCGTACCGACCTTTTTGGATCTTTCGATCTATCCTCCATCAAGCGGATCATCAGCGGAGGTGAAGCAGTGGTTTCGAAGACCGCAAAAACCTTCGCTGCCACCATGAAAAAGCTCAGCAAGAACCCCTCCGCAGTGTCTTTCATAGTCTCTGCTGGATTTGGAATGACAGAAACTTGGTAGGAATATTTACACAACATCGATACATCTGAGGTGACTAGCCTTACAGCGGTGGATGCATTTATGATCCGGTTGATATTTTTACAGCCGAACCTACTCGCGAGTTCCTTGATCTCGGACGTCCCATTAATGGTTGCGAGATGCGCATCGTTGACCCTATCGATAGCACCACTCCGCGCCTGGATGGCGAGAGTGGTGAGCTTCAGGTTCGCGGACCGATGCTTTTTGTGGGCTACTACAAAAATCCCGAGGCTACGTCCTCCAGCTTTATTGAGGGTGGCTGGTACCGCACTGGTGATGTAGGCATTATCGAAAGTGGCGTCATGCGTCTTATCGGGCGGATCAAGGACACCGTCATCATCCATGGTGTCACATATGGTATCCCTGAGCTTGAAACTCATCTCCAGACTTTGGAAGGCGTCACGCCCTCCTTCCTCGCTGCTGCTCCCTACCGTGTTCCTGGCCAGGAAACCGAAGGGTTCGTTATTTTCTACTCGCCATCTTTCGACCTCGATGAAGCAGGCGCGCCTATGAAGCTCTTTGCCACGAATCGTGCTTTACGTGACATCTCTGTTAAGATGATCACCCAGCCACCTCAACTGATCATTCCCATCCCTGTGAAGCAAATGGAAAAGACAACTCTGGGAAAACTCTCCCGGGCGCACCTCCTCATGCTCCTTCAGAAAGGTGGGCTGGCGAAGCATATCGCTTGCGCTGACGAGCTTCTTAGCGAGGCACGCGGCGCCTCCTTTGTAGCCCCCTCCACTAAAACGGAAAGGGTTCTGGCCAAGATGTATGCAAGTATCCTGAACTTCGCAGACAACGAGGTGTCGGCGAACGACAACTTCTTCGAATTTGGTGGTACATCTATTGGTGTTCTCAGGTAAATACATGATTTATTGCTGTAAAGTGACCTTTACTAACTCATATAATCTACAGGCTCAAGCGTGAGGGAGAGGCATACTTTGGCCTGCCTGAAATTCCCGCCATACAAATCCTGAAGCATCCTGACGTCTCGAGCCTGGCCGACTATGTTGATTCCTTACTTTCCAAAGACAGTCGGGCTGAGGAATACGACCCCGCTGTCCCCCTCCAAGTAACCGGAGACAAGACGCCCATCTTCTTCGTGCACCCTGGAGTCGGAGAAGTTCTTGTTTTCCTCAATCTCGCCAAGTACTTCCAGAATGAGCGTCCCTTCTATGGACTTCGTGCTCGTGGCTTCGAGCCTGGTCAGCCCTTCTTCACGTCCATGGATGAGATGGTTTCTTCTTATACTACGGGTATCAGGAGGATCCAACCGGCGGGACCATATGCCATCGCTGGCTACTGCTACGGTGGTTTGATGGCCTTTGAGGTGGTTAAGCGCCTGGAGGCCATGGGTGAAGAAGTCAGGTTTCTCGGTCTTGTTAACGTCCCTCCTTATATCGCCCAACACATGCACAATATCGAACTCATCTGTACGCTTAACGTGGCATTCTTCCTCGGTCTTTTGTCGAAGCACGAATCTGAAAGTATGTGGCCTACTTTTAAACCGCTCACGCAGAAGGAGAGACTTGAGATCGTGTGGAAGATGTCGCCTCCTGAACGTCTCGCCGAGCTCCAGTTGACACCTGAAACTCTCGAACACTGGGTCGAAGTCTCTGTGTCCCTCATGCGCTGTGGAAAGGGATACAGTCCGTCGGGCACAGCTCGTAAGTCATTCATTTTCCCACTTCAACACTGCTTGCTCACATTGCCATGTCTCTCTTCAGCGGCCATTGATGTTTTCTATGCCGTCCCGCCTCGTGGCCCGGATGACAAGGTTAACTGGCTCAATGAGCTCAAGCCATGGACTGGTTTCAGCCGCAGCGATCCAACATTTACTGACGTGCCTGGGGAGCATAACACGCTCATGGACATTGATCACGCCTCGCAGTTCCAGAAGCTCTTCCGCAGTCGTCTTGAGGCTCGTGGAGTGTGATGATTGTTGCGCTTTTTGGCGACATGTCTGATAAATATAAGTAGAAATATTGTTTATACCCGTACCACCACCACGGCCTTTTTCCAAATAGTTATTTGGTTTCAAAGTTGGCTGATCAGCATCATAAACATCATACCTATTTCGAGAGACACGCATATATGGGCAGTCTGCGGCTCCTTAGTTGTAATGTTTCACCACTATGCCCTCAATGACCTCTTCTTCGACATTGTGCTCCATCCCCTTCTTGAGATCAGACCTACCATACATCGTTGTCCTCCCCTTCCTCCACGCCTCGCACAGTGGGGCATCCTCGTCAGGGCACCGGCGCTGGATGCCGAAGTGGTGGAGCACGGGGCTCTCAACACAGGGCAATAAGCGAACATCGTCATCGGGCATCGACACGAAGAATACGCTCAGACGGTCATAGTTGCGCTGATCCTCAGGAGGTTGGACGACGCGATGAATCGTGGGCTTATAGTAACCGCCACTGAAGAAATCCATCATGTCGCCTGTATTGATGACCTGAGGACGGAATGTTGAGTTTGCGATTGTCACAGTGGTCCACTCATTTGCGCACCAAAGCGTTGTCGATGTGGCGGACCCACTTCCATCTGCCGTCGGGAGCCTGAATTTGCAGGCCTCCGACAGGTTGGCTCCACAGAACGGTGACACTGCCAACGTCTGCATGGCTGAGGGGCATATAAGGACAAGTAGTAAAATAAAATATACCTGTATGTCCTTTCAACCAGACATTTTTGGATTTTTCCTCTTCCTCTTTGGTGCGCCTATAACTTAAGAAATATTTATCAGGTTAACAAGCGGCTACGATTAAGGGTCACTTACTACTTCATAAATCTGGCTGTACAGTTTCCCATTAATGAAGAATTCGATATAGTAAAACAAGACCAACCACATGTCTCTCCTGTGCCGTCAAAGTTGTGTTTTTCCACCAGAGTCTCTTCGGGCAAATCGAGGCTCAAAGCGACCAAGCTGCATGAGACTGCTCGTGAGATGGACCATAAAGCAAGGGCTCGCGAAGAAACTAACCGAAGGATTGGATGGACAACGTTGAAGTGATTATGTCGGACGAAGGCATCGATTTCTGGTAGGAACGGGCGCAAGGCCTGAGGGTGCGGACGCCTTGTGACGTCCTTGTTAACTGTCGAAAGTGTAGGTAACACCTATCACACAGAAAGTTGTAGCACCCACTTCCATAGTGCTCGATCTGATCGAGAATCTGATTCTCCGCGTCGACTTTCTGATCATTGAGCGATAAGGGCCAGTTTCATATACATTTCTTGCTAGAATATGACACACCCAGAATTGACGACCTTTAAAAACCCGCGTAGTATCCGACTTTCTCGATGTTTGCAGCATATGTCTTCATTTCATCCGGAGGGACCACAGTGAAAGGGACGTTAGCTATGTCAAAAATCCTATCGCGCTACAACAGTACTTCAGAACCCTTAGTATGAGCTTCGGGAACGGGCCCACCTGAGCCTGGTTATAACCATGATTTATAGCATAAACAAAGCCGTAGCTGCGCAGTGCATCTCGAAGTTGTGGATAGAGCTCTGCCCGTCCTTCCGGTGTATGGGCCTTGGAAAGATCAACGATAGCCAGGTCCGCAAACTCTACTACACGCTGGGTCATTAGCTAGTAGACATACTATATTAATTAAATACTTCCTCACAGTCCTCATCTGTGGCCAGAGGCGGGATATAGCGTCCACACTCGGGCAATGTTAGGCTGGGCATTTCCACTCACTAGATGGTTATGAGAGAAAGGAGGACCTGGAAGCGGAAGAGTACGGGGCTCATTAATACTTCTCGAAGACAGGATAGGATCGATCCACGTTGAGATAAGGCATCAGAAATAGATATATGGTATTGTGACCGACCAGAAATATTGTAGCCAAAAGTGGCACGGTGTACTGGGTACTAGTACTCCATATAGTAAGCACCTTGTCAGCTCATTGAGCAGATGAAACCTATCATGAGCATAGAATCAAGGACGTGGATGGAGATGTTGTCACATGCATGGGTAAATCAAAAGAGTGTTGAGCTTTTCCAACCGTTCAAGTTGGATTGATGATATCATGATACACCTTTAACTTCCCCAAATTTGCGCTGCCAAACGAGTGTTCGCAATATGCCACTTGTGCGCAATGTTAGTTCTCACTACTTGCCAGGTGAGTTGAGACTTCGCTTGGCGGATTGGTCGAAGGTACATTTTCAAGGTGGTACCGAGATGTGTGCATTGGCACTTGGCCAGATAGAAGCGTTAACAACGAACAGACACCGTGCGGAGCGTAGATACAAATTCCGTTGTATGGACAGTGGTTTTTGCTTCACGAAGAAGAACAGAGGTCGAATCGAACAGCCTCCTGCGACGACCTTTTGCGCAAAACGATGACATTCGACGAACAGATTCAGACAGTGTCTTGCCGATTACATAACATTATTAGACGCGCGGCATGCCTGAGTTAGCGTAGTCAGCCAATGAAAATCGTTGATAGTTCTTCGTCACCTACTACTATGTACTTCAGACAGTAATCGGTCGTACACCGCATGTCACTAAGTCTAGTACTGCCATCCCTTCCATGGTGCCCAGATGCTCAACCACTTTGTCACTTCCTTTATCCTCGCGAATCGGTGATATAGTGCCACGGGTAAGCAGCGGCTATCAAACATACGTTGCCCGACAATCTAGACAGTATCTCCGATCTTCAACGTAGGATTTATGCGACCTGACTCTGGGTGTGGGGGAACTTGTACCGATATCCTGCGCTCCTACGAAATTCTTTCATGACTTGCCAACAACCTCCCGAACCCTGGAATACGATCCGTGTCTTTACTCATAGCCATGGCACCAGCATTACACATGGCTTTGTCTTGCCCGTCACTTCCTCTTCCGGGGTAGTATAAAATCACGGTGGCTAAAATATTCTGGGAGATTTGTGGACGGCCGATCAAGGTCGTGTGTAGCTGCTGGAGATCGAGCACGGTGTAATTTCCTGTACGAATCGGTTTATACCAACTAGATTCCTCCCTGATGAAGTTCGCTTACCTGTATGGAACTCCAGTGTTCCATTGAGTGTAGATGCCATCTCTAGCTTTGCTTCCGTGGTTGCGCCAAGAACAGTTGGAATGGATCCCACTGAGAGGACGAATGACTGATTGTTGACCTCTCTGTTATTTGACTCTGTCAGAACTTCAATGGCCGTGGCTGCTGCGTCATTGGTAAGACGCGTTTCCCCTGTTAAATATGAGATAGCTTCCTCCAGTTATGTCACTCTATACGTGTATCCGACGTAGGTGTAAAATCCGATCACCGAAATTGCCGAAGATGCAAACACCCTTATGAATACTTTGAAATAGGCTCTGGAAGTATCCCGGCTCGTTTATGTTTGTGAGTGATCTATTATGGTGGTATTCAAAGAACATACTTTAGACTGGCATTCATTTTGATACACGCAGACTATTTCTTCGGGTGTTCTTGCGCCCTCTCGTATTCCTCCAGAAATTTCACTTGATTTCAATGATTGAAGAGAATAAGAATGGTTCTCCCGTATCTTGTCATCTCAGATGCAGAGCAGACAGATCATCCAATTTGTTCAGTCCAACTGGAAAACCGTACAGAATCTGAAAAATAGGTGAGAGTCGGAACGATTTTACATGCTTCTGGACTGACATCTTTGACTGCAGCGTCGGCTACGATACCACCTTGCACGATTCCTCAAGCTTCTATGAGTGTCGATAGAATGACCGCAGAACTTCTGCCGATATCTGAAACTAGCTGCAGTTTCGTTCCTTCGACTGTCTGATAGAAGTCATCACAGTGAATTTCATCCCCTCCTACCTTGTGTCTTCGAGTGTCCTCTAGAAGTTGCTTCCCAGTCTCTCGCATTCTCGTGCATCTCCTGCAGTTCTCTGCGAGCACCACGCGGTCCGCAACGAGGGCGGGCGTTCTCAGAGCGTCGAGTGGTTTGCCCACAAAATCAGCGACCAATGCATTTTTATTGAGGTTAAGAAAGTGCATTGGTGTTTTAGACTGCAGTGTGGGTGTCATGACCTTTGTGGCGGGAGTTGGGGAAGTTGGCTGTCAATGTCGTGCCGATAGCATTTGCCTACAATGTAAGCTACTTTTTTCCAAAATCTACATCGTGTCCACCCTTCACAATATCGCTGCGACTTGCAGCTGCCTTTTGTATCTATCATGTGGTGTTTCTTGTGCACACTTTGTAGCAAGCTTTTCATTCACCTTTAATCGAGGCTTTGCAAGTCCTATGGTATCGACGATTATTGGATGCTATTAACAGGTCTTCGTTTCTACAGAATTCCGTCGTACGTCTGGCGAGTCTGACCCTACGATATCAGTCCGCTCTGACCAAGGTGAATCGTCCAACTTCTACATAGAGAATATGGTCTGGAAGGTACCCGCTTATCGCTTTGACCAGAGCCTGCTCCGAATCCATTGTTTCAGTCGAAATGACACTCCGCAAGGCATTGACCCAGACATCCTTCCACGTCTCGATCTCTACATAGTATGAAGCTTTGAAGTATGATCGGGTTTCGCCCACCTCTATGTCCGAGATGCAAGGCGAGAATCTTTCCCCTCATCTTCTGCTTCCGTCCTTCGTTTGCCAATATCGTCAAATGAATCTGTTGATCTAGTGGCATCACCAAAGAAGGCCGGTTTCTTATGCTTCTCCAAAGTCTCCAAAGTCTCCAACTCTATGGCTACCAAGTCGTCTGCAGCCGCTTGATCAGCACCCGTCTCAGCGTCTCCTAGGTTCTTCTCGCCGCTGCGGATGACCGTACGCTTTAGCGTGTAGGCACGAATAAAGAGAACTAGAAAGAAACTGAATGCAGATAGCGGCGTGCTGACCAACCAAATCGTGCTGATAGACTGTGTGTAAGCATGCATGACCTCGTTACGCACTGTTGGATTCTGGTGGGACTGGTCGTCAAGCTAGAACCGAGACCATGGAAGTGGGCTTACAGAAATGGAAGAAATCTGCTTGATGCTACCATTCAAAGCCGCGGCAGAGGTGTTGATTGTGAGGCCTTTGATGCCCTGCAGTTTCTGGTGGAGGACACTGGAAATGATAGTCTCCCCGATCGTCATGCCCACCGTACTCCCAAGAGTTCTTGAGACCGATAAGGACCTATGAAAAACAAATTGTAAAGTCATACTCACCGGAGGAACATAAAAGCGCCTGTACTGGTGGCCATGTCCTTAATAGGCATGGCTGCCTGTATGGCAATAAGCGGGGTCTATTGCAGAGGCGATGAGCGTGTATCGTGATGGTGCGGTAAACTCACCTGGAACACGCAACCGATACCGAGGGAAGCAATAAGGGGGTAGACTTCTTGCGCTACACTAAATAAAAAGTTAGGACGACCGCGTGACTTCGACACTGACTAAATACGTACATAGTGGTCGTATTATCCAGCATGATCATGAGGCCCCAACCAAGCGTCATGACAATCCATCCGAACCACATCATAGGGCGGTAGGACCCTGTGCGAGCCACAATGATGCCACAAACCGATGACGTGACCGAAGAGCATAACGAGAAAGGAAGCATTCTGCTCATATTAGCAACATGAATAACAACAATACATGGATTCAATACTCACCTGACGCCAGAACCCGTTGCCGATGCGCCAAGAACTTGTGTCGATCTCAGCAAAATGCAGACTCCAAGGCTATAAGACAGGCTTACCTTGGTAGTACATTGGAAGGTAGCTGGAAAATCCATGATGATGTCAAGTATAAGGTCTGTCTACAAAGTACTCACAAAGAGGCTGGAGTAATGATATAAATGATTGCTACTCCCGAGATAAATTTGCGTACACGACACACCTGCAAAGAATAGCACAGCATGCAAGAAGACAGAAACCAATGTAAAGCCAGTCGTACGCGTCTGGAAAACCATGAGAGACGATATAAATATGGGCAGCTTTTTCAACGACTCACCTTGAAAAGACGAGGAGGGATAATGGGGGACTTCTTCGTGAAAATCTCATTAATCCCACCGATGATGAGCAATGTGCCTCCCACAGCAAGGAGTGCAATAGTTTCGGGATTTTTCCCTAAAAGAAAATAACAATAAGCTTCGGTTCTGTAGAGTAGGAGGATAAAATTACACGTCGTTTCACTCGAGTTGAGACCAATAAGCAAACACACAACACCTGCCATGATTACAAGAAGTCCAACAAAATCAAACTCCCTGATATGGTCGCGGAACGGCCTTCCTTGGTGCGGATTTAAATTTAAGAAAAAGAATAAAAGAACCCCAGCCAAGCCGCCAGTTGGTCTGTCCATAAGTCGTGTTAGTAGCAAGCTTCTGATTTCGGAGCAAATATTAGAAACATATTAGGCGCACAAATTGATCCAGAAGCACCTAATAAGCGTCGATCGTGAACCTTCGGTCAACAAATAGCACGCGCAAACTCACCACCTCCAAGATACATGATCAGTCAAAATCTGTGGGGCAAAACATCAATTCTCAAATCTCTTCAAGAGATGGGACCTCACGCCGCCGAATAACGGTCCGATAACACTAAAAAATAAATAAGTTTCAAGTTTTGGAGGCTTAAACGGGGGTATTTCATTTAGCCTTACCTTGCTATTCCCCAAGTAGCGCCGACGAGACCAGTATACTTGCCTCGCCTAGAAAATAAATATATTCAATAATGACTCGGTGGTGGTAACACATATTCACTCTTGCAATGGAACAATGTCGGATATAGTGATCTGTACGAGTTGAAAGATGCCACCGCCCATTCCCTGTAAGGCACGAGAGACAATCAACCATGTCATGTTCTGAGCTGCACCACACAGCGCTGAACCAATCTAGTCTGAGGTCAAAGCCAGATCGGACGCGTGTACTAGCAATGACGTACCAAAAACATGAAGATGCATCCATATAGCATGGGTTTACGCCCTGCAGATCCCAGTCATAAGTTGATTTCCAAGCAACGTTCCATGGCACTCAAAGGGTACTCGCCTAGAATGTCGGATAGCTTGCCATATAGCGGGCTCAAAGAGGCGCACACCAACATGTAAGCACTGTATGGAAAATAGTACCACGCAACAACACCATATGTAACATATACGTGCCTTCCCACCCAACTATAGTTCTTGCCTCCTCCAAGTTCTGCTACAATTGTGGGCAAGGCGGTCGCAACGATAGTCTCGTGGTGTGTGAGTCAGATATTCACGAATAAAATAACACAATTCCGTACTTGATCTAAAGCTACCAAGAAGATGGTACACATCAAGCCCAAGAACACAATGCCCAAGCGATTTTTTGGGATGACATGCTCTTCGACTTTTTTCCATGATGCACCCGGCCTCTTGTTGGCCTCCTCGACTACAGGAGATGGCGCCTCTGCAATTTTTGTCATCTTGTGAGAGTTTCGTTTACGAGGGCAGCGAGTGGATTTGAAGAACGAATAATGTCAACAGGAAGATGGGCTCGTAGCTTCATATCAGCATCTGTGTGTGATAAAGGTATAGATGAGTTGTCGAATTCTGCCGGGGTTCGAGGTTCGCGAAGCCTTAGGCTTCGATCTTCGGACCGACACACGCAGATGAATTTCGGAATATCGTTGAGGCTCCATTGAAAATTACGGTCGCTATCAGTGACCTGTGGGCGACCGTAGTTCAAGGTTGAACGGCACAGGTGTCACGACCTTGAACGAAATTAAATGTGCGGTTGGACATAAGAAAAATGAGTATCACAGGACCATATTATCGGACTCGAGCTATTTTGATGCGGCCTAGTCACACGCTGCACTTGACGCGTCGACGATTTGTGCCAGCGCCGTGGCACCTGGACCACATTTCCCACATACCTGTTCTAATTAGATACGACAACGACGTGTTTCTGGTTGTTACTAGCCAAATGAATAAATACTGGACCGATACCGAGGACCACCTATGACTCTCACATATTAGTGGTAGTCAGAGTGAACGATCATGAAGCGATTTTGCGTGTGATTACTAGCCGATTCAGAGTTCGAAAATCGCGTGAAAATCGCCACCCACTTTGAACACCCCGCAGCAGCTGCGAGAACGGATTCTCAACGTGATTTCCGGTTGGATTTGTGAATAGGCATGTATACTAAAACTAACAGTTCCTAAGGTGAGTTATATATATGTTTGATCTGTTTTCTGACATACATTTCACGCACTTGATATCCTGGTTGTGCTTTTTTTCGCCTCTTTTACGAGTGCTTTTTACTAAGAGTTTTCCGAGTCAGCGGAGATGCTTGTTGGACGCCTTTTCCTTTGGGTGCCATGCTGCTCGAGTGCGGAGAGGGTGCTCAGGTGCTTGCTTGCAAGTTGCGGGACAAGTTTATTTAATTAGACGTTTGTATTTTGAAACAAGAGGGTACAGCTGTTTACAATCTAAAATCCGATTCAGAATCACGTGAAGCGCCTCGGCGCTTCGACAATTTGGCACGATTTGGCATCGGGTCCGATTATCAAAATCGCTTTCTCAGGCTGAATTGCACACGGAATCACTTCAAAATCTTCCATTCTGATTAATATCGTAACGGCGCAAGCGCCAATCCCCGACTCCGCTCAAAGACACTGAGACAGGATTTTCGATCTTCCTCGTGAAACAGATAGTCGAGAAACACACTCGACTAGGACATTATCCAAGAGGACCGATAATTTTTGCTCTTGAATTTCCTCGTTGTAGTAGAACCATCTAGGATAGTCATTTAGTCTCGAAGGCATACACTTCTCAATGGTTAGAGATTTGCGAGATGAAAGCCTACGCAATACAATACAATGACAGTAACCCACATCAGCAAATTCACTTGGTGCCATAGACAATGATTTTTGCTGCTGACATATAATGATGCAAACACCATCATATGAGACAACCATGAAAGTTTAACCTGTGGCACGTTGAGCAACACGAATGATGAGATTTAAGCGAAATTTTCAACCAGGCACAATTTTTTTCAGATGTTTCAAAGAATGCGAGATTATATTGCAGATAGTAAAGGGCATCATAATAATCAGGATACTGTGTCACATCATGGGGCTTATCACAAGGAGGACATTGTCCTTCATCAAGGAAGCAAGCCAAATGGCAAGGCAACTTCATAATAAAAACCCTGCAAATGTATGAGTTGTACTACATTGAAAGAATCATCAAGTCACTTAACTCACATGTGTCAGTCTGTATTATTGCGAGCTCAGCATATACAGTGGCTCAAAAAACTGTCTGCATGTTTTTGCAAATTTTACTATTTGTAATATTGTGTGAGAATACATAAAGACCTCAGTGACATGCTGATACCATATTGTAGTACCACTTCAGGGCTTTTGATTGAGCACCACATTGTGAGAATCAGGGGAGATATGGTGGAGATACAAGGCTTACAAAATTATGACTCATGCAGACAGTTTTTTGAGGCATATTAAAACTATATAAATCATCATTTATGACACCATAGCAATCATGCCACCATTAAATAAATTATAAAGTGATGTCATTATGTCATTTTAAAATCATATCTAACTATACAAACCAAAAAATTTCATATGTCATGGTTATATTCACTATGAAAGCCACCCCCCTTGCTCAAAGGGATAATATCCTCTCTCTTTCCTATTCTGGCCTCCCTGCTTGTCAAATTTTCTCTAGAACTGGAGTATGCAAGTCTACTGTGGCCAAGTTCATCAAAGAGAGTCACACAGACAAGGAAAACTTCTGTGAAGGGCGTCCATCCAAGCTCACCTCTACTGATAGGAGGGCTATTATTCAACATATTGCTACAGGAAAGGCTGATAATGCTGTCCAGGCCACCTATCACATCAATTCCACCATCACATTCCCTGTCTCTTCACACACTGTGAAAAACATTCTCAAGGCAGCTCATCTCAGGTCAGTAACAAAGAAAAAAAGCCTCTCCTCTCTATCACACATATGCAGAGATGACTAACCTTTGCCTTAGCCCATCAGAATTGGACTATATGGACTGGAAGCATGTTATATGGTCATATAAGACCAAAATAAATAGGATTGGGTCAGATGGCAAGGTATATATGTGGAAAAAAAAGGTGCTAGTCCTCTCTGCATATGTGTGATAGAGAGGAGAGGCTTTTTTTCTTTGTTACTGACCTGAGATGAGCTGCCTTGAGAATGTTTTTCACAGTGTGTGAAGAGACAGGGAATGTGATGGTGGAATTGATGTGATAGGTGGCCTGGACAGCATTATCAGCCTTTCCTGTAGCAATATGTTGAATAATAGCCCTCCTATCAGTAGAGGTGAGCTTGGATGGACGCCCTTCACAGAAGTTTTCCTTGTCTGTGTGACTCTCTTTGATGAACTTGGCCACAGTAGACTTGCATACTCCAGTTCTAGAGAAAATTTGACAAGCAGGGAGGCCAGAATAGGAAAGAGAGAGGATATTATCCCTTTGAGCAAGGGGGGTGGCTTTCATAGTGAATATAACCATGACATATGAAATTTTTTGGTTTGTATAGTTAGATATGATTTTAAAATGACATAATGACATCACTTTATAATTTATTTAATGGTGGCATGATTGCTATGGTGTCATAAATGATGATTTATATAGTTTTAATATGCCTCAAAAACTGTCTGCATGAGTCATAATTTTGTAAGCCTTGTATCTCCACCATATCTCCCCTGATTCTCACAATGTGGTGCTCAATCAAAAGCCCTGAAGTGGTACTACAATATGGTATCAGCATGTCACTGAGGTCTTTATGTATTCTCACACAATATTACAAATAGTAAAATTTGCAAAAACATGCAGACAGTTTTTTGAGCCACTGTATAGACACAGTGTTTGGGAAGGAAAAACAACTATATGCAGTGCATGATCAAATCAAAGAAAATTGAGTTGAGACACAAATTGACTCTCATGTGTCAGTTTGCATACTTGCATGCTTGTCAGTATATCCAGCTGCAGAGCATTTGGTGGATGGGATTGGGTTGGGAAGGGATAATACACAGCACTCAACTAAAGGCAGGTTGGACATCTAGCCTCGCAAGCTTGGCTAGATATATGTCTACAACTAGTAGTGTACTAGGCAGACCACCACTATGCACACATGCTGCAATCCACCTTCTCCTAAGATAGGGTGTTGCTATATTGGGAGGGAGTGGCTAGTAAAGCAGGGAGCAGCGGTTTTGATCCTGTGAAAGATCTTGTCAGGGGGCTTGAACGCTGCCCTGATCACTTGTACTTCTAGTTCTACATAGGCACTCTTCCCTTTAAGCTATTTTGACAGGAGTAAATGGTCTGTGCCCTAATGATAAGGGCAGGCTGTGATAGCCTTTTTATGGACTCATGACTGGCCTTAAACAAATGAGGGTCTCTATGTATGGGTTACATATAATGGCAGAGTGTGATTCTTGCAGTCTAGGCCCTTAAGGCCCTGTGAACCATATATATATGACTGGTCATGTTACTTTCATTGACATGACCAGATTCTTTCGAGTCCATATAGGTAGCTATGTTAGTCATAGAGAACTATTTTCCCACAAGCTCAAAGTATTCCCACAGTTTATTCTTTTATTCCCACACATGTGCGTGGGAATTTCCCACGGGTGCATTTGCAGGAAGCTAGGCATTTTGATGCAACAGAACCCTCTTCCACTAAAGTGGAGTTGGGGAACATTGAATCAACCAAAGTGGGTAAGCCATGCTTGTCACTAGTAATCTTCACACTCACTGTGTGCAACAGCAAGCTCACCATTTCAACATCATGTGCCTAATTCTTAATGACGATATCAATATTGCCTCCCGTCCATTATCCTCACCAATGTAATTAACCACCTCAACCCTATCTAGATTATTAGCCTGTGGATGACTCAATCCAACTCACTGAAATCAAAAGCATTTCCCTCAAGCACTTCAACTTTGTCAAAGCTTTCATTTTTTTCTGTCCTCTTCAACTTTTTGAGAGATGCAAATTCAGTAGCAATGTCGTCAAATAAGACACTCTGGACCAGCAAGAAGATCATCTGCATCACAAGACTTGATCGAGAGTGGAGATGCCCATAGGAAGGAACCCAAGGCTTCAAGATTCTGTGCAATCTCAACAGCAGTATCAAAATTGTCATTGATCTGTGATGCAGAGGGGGCATACACTATCTTACTTTAGGGACGTTGGTTTTCATGTTCTATTGAATTTGAACTGTGCTATTAGATCTCTGTGAGTGTCGGATACACTTGAGTTTTGCCAGGTTCTGCCACCCTCCTTTCACATGAGTTCTGCCATGGACTAGGCATAACTAGTTTTGCCAGACTAGTGAAGGTTCAACAGCTCTGCTAGGCTGCAGAGCTAAAGAAAGAAAGAGGGCTCTGACTCTGGGGGAAGAGAAAAGTCACTGACTCTCTAGATGTTGGTTGAAATGTGCTGAGCAATATGTTTGACCCTTAGGGGAAGCAAGGAAAGCAAGGATCCACTGGGTAACACCAGGTCAACTCTGGTGAAGTGCGCTGGGAGCATGCACGTGAGAATGTCGAGTGCATAGGAGCATGAAGTGTGGGAATAGGGCACACACAGTGTGTGAACATATAAATGACTGAAAGATGGTGTGAAGATGTTGAAGTGAGGCTGGTGATGCAGAGACTGATGCTGATGGCTAAGGCAACAACTAATGCATGCTGGCTGAAGATAGATTCTCACTCTAGAGACTAAGTGACATCATGGTGGTTGATGTCTGAAAACTTCTCTATGCAACAGGTAAGCTGTGCCTAGGTGTGCTCCCTGGGCTCGGAAGCAAATAGGGAGTGCTCTATGTATGTAAGTGAGGTAAATAAGGGTCCATGATGGAATAATGTATTGTACAATGCCAGAAATAATCTGATAGCAAGAATAAACAAGAAGGGACTCACTAGGGGACTGGTTGGGCAATGGATGGATGCTCTAGGATGTTGCACAACATAGTGCGACCAAGTGTGGGAAGAGCACACTAAGTGTGTGCATGGGAATGCATCGCATAGTGCGGGAAAGCATCGCGCCTCTGGTGTGTTTTGTGGGAAAGTCATAGCTAGTGAGTTGCACACTGTACCAATCATCATGAGTCATAATATGGGTGATCTAAGCCTAGAGCAATCCCATTCTCTACACTGAGAGGACTGCTATTGAAGCACTTCCTTCAAATATATGCAAGGGAAGCAATTGAGCAAAGGAATTAGAATCTGTAGCAGCCTAAAACTAGAGTGCAGGCAGTAAGTATACCCTTGAGTTCCTATGTCAAAGAATCAACTGTGAGTGTGAGCAAAAATTGACCAGTGTTAGTATCACAAGTGTGGGTTTAACACTAGAGGGTACATGTGAGTGCAGTGGATGCTGGATGCTGGAGTGGTAGATGTAACATGCACAAAATCAGGCACACTTGATAGAGTGGCCAGACACAAGAAAAATAGGGCAAGAGAAGGACTGCACCAAGTTACCAGTTGTGGGTCAGATGTTCTTGCAAGATCCTAAGTATAAGATCCTAGTGGTATGGAACTTCAGAGTGGCTGAATTGTGCACAATTGTCAAGTATGAGCAACAGAATGGATTGCACAAGGTCTACAAAAATAATGTGAGAGCGACTCTCCAATAGAGCTGAGTCCAGGGGGAAAAGGGACTACTCATTCATATGTACTGCAGTCGTTTTATCATAGTGCATTGTAGGGATTTCATTTACTGTGGGCTTGTATAGGCAGATATTACTTAGTGTTATGTTCGCACTTTTGGTGCTTATGTAATGATTATAATTTTCACCACCTACCAGCACCAGTCTGAGACTGAGAGTTATTAGCATGGTTTCCTATCCTCTCTGAGCACTGAGCTTAGTCCAGAAACCCTTTAGGGTTGAATTGTTATGCTCGGCATTCGTAAGAACAACTAGATGGAAACAAATGATCTAAAGCATGAACCTATTCATGAGTCATGCAAGTTAAGCAGTATATTGCAGGCCCTGGTCTGCATAGGTCAAGTTAGAGAATACAAGCATAAGAGATAGAGTATATATAAAGGGATTAAAGCAGAGCTTTAATAAATGAATTGGAGATGAAAAGTAGATAATGAATCAGAAATAAGAAATGAGAATCGTATGATAGAATGTTATAGAATGTCTAAGAATGATTAGTAATTGTGAATAAGTGAAAAGGTGAAAGGAAAAAGATGGAACCGTAACATGAATAGCAGCTAGGCATAGCACATTTAGCTCAACATTAGAAGTCTACTTTACAGTTTTCTTCTTGTTGTGTTTCCCACAGTGTGAACATTCAGAATGCATAGGTGAGAATTGTAGTGTAGTAAGCTACAACCACATCTTCCAAATGCTTGTCAAATTCATTATGAAACTTAACAATGAAGAACCAAACCCATTTCCCTCTCCATACCTTCTAGTAGCTCCCCTGAGTGCCCCAAGTACTCATCATACCGGTGCACCTCCTGTCATTCATTGTGGCTCAGCACAAGCCAGTGGACTTGATGGACTCATGCAATTCTGATGCCTCCTCTTCAGGCGAACTCACTCATGTGTTCCTATATGTTTATTTTTCTTTCTCTTATGCTACCTCCCTTAGTATGCAAATCATGGATGTCTCCTCAGATTACTATTGACATGCAATCATGATTATGTAACATGGATTATGTCATGTTCATTGGTGCCATAACTAGAACTACATGCATACATATTGAAGTTGTCTGGTACCATGCCTCCAAGGAAGAAGCCCAGACATTCTTCACTGGATCTACAGGCAACTGCTCTGCAAAGCTCAAGACCTGGCCATGGTGTTGGTGGCCATGTGTTAAGGTCACATGCTCAAGGGGGTCAGATCACAAGGGCTTGGCCTCAGCTCATATGCTGTGCCCCTTTCCCAAGTATGTGCCCTTAATTTCCAGGGGCTAGAACAGTTGTCTGGAGTTTCCAGGATTTGACTAGGGCGGACAATGGATGTCCGGATCTAAAATGTGAGATAAATGCAATGGATGTCTGGATGTTACTTGGACAAGCAGATAAGGCTAATCCAGATGAAGTCCAGACTAGAAACTAACAGAGGATAGACTACCTTAAGGTAGAGCTGGAGATGTAGTCTAGGATACAATCCTAAGACTTGGAATATGACAAGAGACTTGGCTTGAGTCCAGAGGACACAGGAATGAGCAGGAACTAAGATGATATTCAAACTGAAGTATTTCTGAGAGTTACAGGAGGTTTATATACTGTAGGTATCATATAGGAATCAGTCAGCAAAACACAAAGGCTATGTACAAAGCATATGCAAAGTCTATTAGTAAGTAGGATGGATCACCAATAATGCATATCAGAAATGAAATGTATGTAACAGATCAATAATCAGAAGAGAAACATAGTTAACCGGAGTCCAGAGACAGGGGAAGTCTAAATGGGGTTGGGCGCTGATATAGGGTTTGGATTCCAGAAGGACAATAAAGATAGATCAGATTATTGGAGATCTGGATATTTGGAGAAGCAGATTTAGAGTTGAGAGTCTGGAATGGCATATGACACTTCCCATCCAAACCCACATGTGGCTCGCTCTTCCAAAAGGTTCAGATTCAAGGAACCCAAGTCCAATGGTCATGAGAGGGCCAGAGAGGGACAGCCCATACAGAAGGACACATAGTCCAGTGGTCACAAAATGGTTGGATGGAATGCAGGTCAGTGAGACACAGGTCATGAGAGGGAGTCCACAGAACCTGGTAGTGGTTGTGAGAAGGACAGGCAGGACACAGATGATGACAAGGAGTTTGTGCTCAGCTCTCACAAATGCAATGAGTCCAATGATGGTGCTAACCACAATGATGATTTTGACAGTGGTATGCAGGTATGAATATTCTTCTGTCTGTTATTTGCATTCTCCCTGATATTATGTTCTCTTTGCAGGGACAGAGATGATGGTCAGTGCATGCGCCAGTGAACGGATGACACAAGTGATGCAAATGATTTTAACAAAAATCTGGGTTGGCCTTTACTTGATGTTGAAGCTGGAGGAGATGCAGATCCACATGACGAGCCCACAGATATAGAGCAGCATGAGGTATTTACATTTTTTTTGTTCCATTCCCACATTAATTGTCTGTACTTGAGGTTTACAATGTTCTTGAGCATCATGCAAAGAATGGTAGCACAAAGCTCCTTCACTGACCCATTTGTCAAATGGGCAGGAACATGCACATACTGTCCATCACTCAAAATCCTCTCATTGATGCCCATCCCAGCATGTTCATTCTAAATCTCCTTGCCCACACTCTCCCCAACATGTCAGGCACTCAAAGTCCACTCATTGATATCCATCATCTGGAGGAGCTTCTGCTGTTCGAGTGGATAGACCTTCACCTGCACATCATTCCTCTTGTTCAAAGTCTCCACATCAACAATTATCACAGCATGACAGATATGTATGCACTTCATCATGCATGCAGTCTCCTCTTTGGCACCCATCTCAACCAATTACTTCCTCAAGTTGCAGTCACACACAGCCCACCTCTTGTGGACACCCTCTGTCACGCTCTCCATCTGACACTCTTCTAGCTTTAAGCCATGAATGTTCTGGTAGTTCTACACCCAAAGATACTTGTCAATCTGGAAACAGCAAACAGATGGTCAAGACAAACCAGGATAACCCTTTGAAGCTAGGGTTTTATCTGCCCACTTGGCAAGCATTTCTGCAGATTGTGAAGTTAGAGATGTGGTTTCAGGCTGTTCTAGCTTATCCAATTCCAGAGTCCCAGGAAGCCCTCAACCTTGCACGAGAAGTCTTGGACACCGTGCTATGGACATACCACAAGAAGAATATTAAACTTGAGAGAGGTATATTCTCCCTACACCACCATCTATCCTTCTCACATCAATTTTTTCAAGGTTACTTTCCACAATATGACACACAGATGTGCTGGCTGGTAAGTTCTTTGTTTATTGATAGCAAATGTGCTTGCTGATACAACATCAATGAGCTGTGTGATGATCTGTTCACATTCCACACAGAGCTCAAAAAAATTATCATATCTATTGCAAAAAGGGCACACAATATCTTCCTGCAGGGCTCAACAATGCGAATGGATGAGACTCAAAAGCAGATCACCACAGCTGCCACTAAGCTCCTCAAGAGTGGTGATTACCTCTGGCTCCCTGAGTTGTCTGACGTAGGTTGCAACACCTGGTAATTGTGTCATTTAAAATTGATTCTCACAGGGAAAATTCAAGAATTTTACAGCGCAGGCTCTCAAGGATGCTTGTCTCAAATTTAACTACAGCAACAGCAAGAAAGCATTAAAGAACATGGACGAATTCCACCAAACAATCCCTGTCAATGCTATGCTTCTTGTAGCAGCAGTGGTATGTTTTTAATTCTTTATCCTTTTACCACTGATGATTCAACAGTTGAAGGGTGTTATATCTGGCATTTGTGAGACCAGCACTAACAAGGTTCTTGATCTAACTGCTGAGCAATGCAGGACCCACTTTATCAATTTATGGAAATCAGTTGACATACTGCTCAACATTCTGGAGTGTTGCAAAGAGCTTGAAGACATGTTGGAGCAATGGGCTAGGGTTGGCATGGGTGACTCTGAGTATGCAACTGGGAGTGCAACATGGAGGATGTTAACATCATACTTTAGTAATGCTCCGATTGATGTGCCATGTTTTTATTAAACAATCATTACAGTTTATGTGTGTTAAGGTCATACTCAAGGGCTAACTGGATCCGAAGTGCTTTGGCCTCAGCTTGTGCACTGTGCCCCTTACTCGAGTATTGCCCCTTATTTTAGGAAGGCAAGACTAATGTGTCTGGAGGGTCAGACAAGTAGTGTAGTGGATCCAGATGACTTCCGGATGTGGGATAAGTATTGTAAGGCTAATCCAGACAAGTCCAGACTAGAAACTAGCAGTAGTGGCTGTCTTAGACAGAGGCAGATGCGGATAGACTATAGGAATCAATCCTAAGTCTCAGAAGATGATGAGAGTAGAGATACTCAGGTCCAGAGGACAGGAATGAGCAGAACTAAGTTGATATTTGAACTGAGGTGCTACAGAGAGTTACAGGAGGTTATATACTATAGGTATCTAACGGAATGATCAATCAGCAGAGTCTGAGGCTATGTACGAAGCATATGGATAGTCTATTGGTAAGTAGAAACAGATCACAAATCATGAAATGGAAATGAAGCATAGGTAATGGATCAGGGAGCAGGATGGATATACAGATAGCTGAAATACCAGAGTTAGGGGATTACTGAAAGGAGATGAGCACTGGTTGTGGATTCGGATGAATTGTGGACCGGACCAGATCAGTGGACAGATTGGATGATGAGATGTTGGAGGGGGATAAGATGTGGATTGGATCTGAGATCTGGATATGCGGATATGACAATGTGAGCCTTATGAGGCTGTATGTCATGTTTATGTAAGGATCACATATCCTCTATGCCCTGACCATAACTTCATATCAACTATGCTCAGACCTGTCCAGTAAGCCATGTGACTCACTGATGTGAAGAAGTGTTACTCTTTGCATTTGAGTCACACAGATACATTCTCCTTTCATCTTAACATTCAGTACCTTTCCTTACTCTCATATCACACCACCTCTGTTCCTTTATCAGAAGTATTTTCACTTTGCCTTCAACTATTTTCATGCTGGATCCAGCGTTAACAAAGTATTTGAAATGTATATAAACCACCTGTCATATGCCATTCTGGACTCTCAACTCTAAATCCACTTCTCCAGATATCTGGTGAATGTTCAACAACTCTGCTGGCTTGCAGAGCTATAGAAAGAAAGAGGGCTCTCACTCTGGTGAGAGAGAAAACCTGCTAACTCTCTAAGGTGTTGGTTGAAATGTGCCAAGTGATATGTTCAACCCTTAAGGGAAGCAAGGAAAGCAAGATCCATGAAGTGACACTGGGTCAACTCTGGTGAAGCACACTGGGAGTGCATGCATGGGAATATGGAGTGCATAGGTGTGCGAAGTGTGGGAATAGAGCACAAGGAGTGTGTGAACATATAAGAAACTGGTGAATGTCATGAAGGTGCAAACTAAGACTGCTGAGTGATGACTGGGGTGATGACTGATGGATGCTGGCTGAAGATGATAAATTCTAACTCTCCAAACTAAGTGACATGATGGTGGTTGTTGTATGAAAACTTTCCTAGGCAACAGGTAAGCTGTGCCTAGGTGCACTCCCAGGGCTTGGAAGCAAATAGGGAGCGCTCTATGTATGTAAATGATGTAAGTAAGGGTCCATGATGACATAAGATATCATATGATGCCAGACATGAGAATAAATGGAAAGGGACACACCAGGGGACTGGTTGGACAATGGATGGATGCTCCAGGACACTGTGCAACATAGTGCGACTGAGCATGGGAAGAGTGTGCTAAGTGTGTGTGCAGGAATGTATCGTGCCTCTGGCACGTTTCATGGGAAAGCCATAGATGGTGAGTTGTACACTATACCAATTGTCATGAGTCGTAATATAGGCGATCTATGCCTGGAGGAATCTCATTCTCTACACTGGATCCAAGATCTGGATCTCCAATGATCTGATCTATCTTTATCTTCCTTCTGGAATCCAAACCCTATATCAGCGCCCAACCCCATTTAGACTTCCCCTGTCTCTGGACTCCAATTAACTATGTTTCCCTTCTGATTATTGATCTGTTACATACATTTCATTTCTGATATGCATTATTGGTGATCCATCCTACTTACTAATAGACTTTGCATATGCTTTGTACATAGCCTTTGTGTTTTGCTGACTGATTCCTATATGATACCTACAGTATATAAACCTCCTGTAACTCTTGGAGATACTCCAGTTTGAATATCATCTTAGTTCCTGCTCATTCCTGTGTCCTCTGGACTCAAGATAAGTCTCTTGTCATATTCCAAGTCTTAGGATTGCATCCTAGACTACATTTCTGACTCTACCTTAAGGTAGTCTATCCTCTGTTAGTTTCTAGTCCAGACTTCATCTGGATTAGTCTTATCCGCCTGTCCAAGTAATATCCAGATGTCTGTTGGATTTACCTCATGTTTCACATCTGGACATCCATTGTCCACCCTAGTCAAATCCCAGAAACTCTGGATGACTGTTCTAGCCCCCGGAAATTAAGGGCACATACTTGGGAAAGGGACACAGCATACAAGCTGAGGCCAAGCCCTTGTGATCTGACCCCCTTTGAGCATGCAACCTTAACACTGCCCATGTACACTCATACCATAGTGAATCATATAGTGTGACTCCTGCTCCAAGTACAACTGAATGCCTCCTAGAAAGCCCCTCTCTCAAAAACCCAGTCCTATCTCTATCTTTGTGTCATCTACTGACTGTCATATCCCACAATCCAGACTCACATTCCATAATATTCCCACGCCTTCTGAGCCTATGTCCAGACCCCATATCCGACCCATTGCCAGATCCCCTTCCGCTATGTGCTCCACACCTCAGTAAGATCAATTCCATTCCAGATTTACCCCTGGACCAAAGTCTGGAAAGAGGGTAAGTGCCAGAAAGGCAAGACTCCAGCCTAGGGAAGCAATCCCTAGACTTGGCACTTTGGTCACCCCATTTTAGACACCTCTTAGGTTGATTGTGACCTATAGAGGTTTTCACCTAAGAGGTACTTTTATGGTGATCTACCCAATGTTCTGTGGTCTTTCCCTGTAATCATTAGGGACCAAAGACCATGTACCATATATGAACTAAAGACCATTGGGAATATGTTGTGGGAGTACCATATGATGATTTGGACCACTTGAATTCCCTCTAATGTAGGGGTGTCTGGGGTCTTCAAATGATGATTTTTTGGCAAATTTTCCTACCTTTGTGGATTGCATCTTTGCCCTGTGCCCTGCCTCCTAGACCCCCTTAGACTGAATGAATCTTTTCTTATATAATTGAACAATATATCAAAATTATATACTTTGTCCAGATGACCCTACAGTCATCTCCAACATGCCCAGCACATAACCACAGCAGATTTCATTATATACCCACTGGACCTGCTCACATCCTCTGGAAAACTGTCCTATGCCCAGTCCGGTTCCTTCTAACACTAGTACTGGTATGTACACTTCAAACCACACACCTGTTGGTTCATTACACCCACTCCTCAATGCTCACTCTGCTTGCATCTTGGTGGGGGGCTCAGCTAGGCATCTGCATGGGTATGGGTTGAGATTTTGAGACCTGTACTTTAAACCCATACCCCACATGGGTCTGGGTCCAGGTCTGAACTCATCATACCTACCAAAATGGGTATGGGCTCTGGTACCTGGGGGTTTACTCATGCAGTTCCATAGGGGCTCCTCCCTGTTTAACCACATGAGCTGCAGTACCTCATGGCCATTTACCTACCTTTGGACCTAATAGTTTTACTACAACCTTTGTCTATAGTACTCCAGACTTTCACATAGATAAATGAACAGGGACGGCATACTACAGCATTGCAAAAAAGATAAACAGGCGAGACCACAAGCTTAATGGGACAGACCATAGGTGTAATATGCATGCTATAGGGAAGACCACAAACTAATTGGGATGGACCATAGGTGTACTATACATGCTATAGGGAGGACCACAAGCTTATTGGGATGGACCATAGGTGTAATATACATGCTATAGGGAAGACAACAGGCTTAATGGGACAGACCATAGGGTAATATACACACTATAGGGAAGACCACAGGCTAAATGGGATGGACCATAGGTGTAATATACATGCTATAGGGAAGACCGCAGGCATAATGGGAGGGACCATAGGTGTAATATGCATGCTATAGGGAAGACTGCACTGTGGCACACCACCACCCCTCCTTCAACAGACTAGAATTACTCCATTTCTACTGCAAAGACACCATGTCTGATTCTTCCTTCAACAGACTAATTCAACTAGAATTACTCCATTTCTATTAGGAAGACACCATGTCCAATTCTTCCTGAAGAACAAGTATGTCACTCAGCTACTACCTTCATTTTCTCTCAATTAATGAATATGTATGTAGATGTAGCTCACAAGTACTCCATTGGTTGCTACTGTATAATATATTCTCACACATCTGTCAGCCAAAACTAAGTGACAACTATAAATTCTATGTGTGAACATTTATTTGACAATTTAATAGGGAAGGAAGGCATATAGTGATCATCAATGTCATCAGTGTCATCCACTAACTCATTACTGTAATCATACCTGTACTCGTCCACTAGTGCAATGTCTTCAATAGCATCCATCAGTTCCTTGTCTCCAATCTCACCATATTCCAGGTCTTCCTCACAATCACCTTCCTCCCCTTCCACACTCTCGGCATCATCCTCATCACGAAAGGATGACTGTGCTTGATCACAAGCAGCCTGAAGCAATGCTCCATCAGAGGGTCCCCAGCTCTCACCAACTGGCCATGTGCAAGGAATACACTGAACCTTTTTCTTCCAGACTACACATATGTTGATGAGTTCATCTGCACAAGACTGAAGGTGGAAAGACATGACTGCATCTGTCACTGCAACATCACTAACCACCATTGATAACATTGTATGGACACACTTACCTGCATTGTTAGAGGCACCTCTTATTGCCCCCCACTCTGCCAACATCCATTCTTGAATGACAGCCCTCTCATGCATTAGTTGAGCTTCCTCCTCCACACACCAATTAACCTCAAGTTGCAAGTGGATGCCATTTCAGATGGCATCATCTGATAGCCATGCTGGTGGCACCATAGTGTCATCATCAAGCCCAACATCAAGCAGAAAGATGCCATCACGTGGGATGATGTGAGGCATAATAGCATAAGGAGGTGCTTGACACTGGCATATAAGAGATTGTAGTTGAGAACACAGACCATTGTACATTGAAACTAATTTGAGGATGCCAGGCTCTTGCCACTTGATTGACTGTTGAGTATTGGCATGAAGCTTGTGCTCAGCTGAAAAATTATGAGATGTGCACCAGTCCAGTCAAATTGTCAACACACCATTGATTGTTGCTCTGTATGATCTCTTGAGTCTCTCCAACTCAAACTTGCATTGATGAAGGTGGTCACGAATACGAGTTTTGACTGCAAGGGCATTCAAGTGAACTGTAAGATACATATCCTTCTTCATCTTCTCCAGGTTGACCTTGTCCTCCATTCCAAGCACAGCTCAATGTCATCGGAGAGTGTTAGCAGTTTTTGCTTACTGTGAGCAGATGTCTGCAAGCTGCAGGTTGAACTTGACAATGTCAGGGACACGGCCACTATGGAGCTGCATCTCAAGCTCGCAGATATATATTGTTCAATTATATAAGAAAAGATTCATTCAGTCTAAGGGGGTCTAGGAGGCAGGGCACAGGGCAAAGATGCAATCCACAAAGGTAGGAAAATTTGCCAAAAAATCATCATTTGAAGACCCCAGACACCCCTACATTAGAGGGAATTCAAGTGGTCCAAATCATCATATGGTACTCCCACAACATATTCCCAATGGTCTTTAGTTCATATATGGTACATGGTCTTTGGTCCCTAATGACTACAGGGAAAGACCACAGAACATTGGGTAGATCACCATAAAAGTACCTCTTAGGTGAAAACCTCTATAGGTCACAATCAACCTAAGAGGTGTCTAAAATGGGGTGACCAAAGTGCCAAGTCTAGGGATTGCTTCCCTAGGCTGGAGTCTTGCCTTTCTGGCACTTACCCTCTTTCCAGACTTTGGTCCACTTCCTGTCTCTCCGACTCTACCTAAGGGTAGTCTACCTCTGTTTGCTTCTACATCAGACTTTATCCAATATAGCCCCTATTTCCTTCCAGACATCCTGTCCTGTGCACCTCCAGGCATCCTGTCCTTCGAACATCCCATCCTCCTAACCCTCGGGCATCCTGTCTTCCAGACCTTCAGTCCTCCTGTCCTCCATACTTCCAGACCTCCATACTTCCGGACCTCCAGACATCCTATCCTTCCATCCTGTTTCCTGTAGAAGTATTACCTTGCAGTGGGAACTCTCCTGAGCACTTCCTGCATTCCTCCAGAACTCTCCCATGCTCCTCTGGACTTCATCAGACCTTCATCAGACTTCCTCTGAAATGAAGGGCACATACTCAGGTAAGGGGCACAGCATACAAGCTGAGGCCAAGCCCCTCTGAGTCAGTCTCTCTCTCCCTTGAGCAACATGGTTCTTAACACTGACACGACTCATATTCAGTCTGGAATTGTTTACCAATTCCCTGCTGAACTCTCCTGCAGCATTACATATTGGAGTCCACCATGAAGGAATTGTTTTTGAACAATCCCTTGCACCCTGAGACTGATTTGCTGATCTTCTTTTAATCTTCTAGTCTCTCTCTTAAAAATCTGGTCATTTGACCAACTCTCACAGAACAACTTCTAAGTACTACCACCCCCATGTGCAGTTATGTCTCAAACTGCAACAAAAGCCATTTGTGCTAGCATCCTCAAGCAATGCTGTACCTCTGAAGAAACAAAGATCCCATGCCCACACTCTCAGTGCATCACCTAAGTCAATCTTAGAAGAACCCCATTAATATCCCAGTGATCCAGGTTACTGTCCCTAGTTCTGCAGCCAACCCCCCAGTCCCAAAATCTACAGCTCTGCCCTCTGCTTCATCTCAGACTCTCCCCATCCCTCCCACACACCATGCTTAAATATCTATGCCAGTGCCACCCATGTCAACTACCACCAAAGGGGTATCTGCAATGCCAGGACCTGGATCCAGCAAAGCACCTTCATTTAGTGGTGAAACTTCAGAACTCTTGGAGTTCCTCAAACTATTTGAAGACCTTGCATTGTCTAGTGGACTCACTAGTGCAGACAAGTGCAAAATGATAGTACGCTATGTCAACCTGGAAACTAAACATTTCTGGGTAACACTTATAGGATATGAGAGCAAGGACTTCAGCATTTTCAAAATGAACATTGTCAGGCAGTATCCAGGGCAGATAAAGGCAAGAGGTACACCCTCCGCAACCTTGAATGTGTTATCCTCAGTGCGGCAGAAAGTGACATCTCTACAGAAACAGAACTGGTACAATACTATAGACAATTCCACCCTATAGCCATATGGCTCGTCACTAACTCAAAGATCTCAGTTCAAGAATGAGACTGGTACTTCTGGCAAGGTCTTCCTTAGGCTGCCAGACTTACCATAGTTCAGCAGCTGCAACACATGGACCCCAACTACACCCATAATGAGGCTACTAACTTTGAGAAAGTCATTGATGCAGGATGATTTGTACTCTCAGATGATCTGTTTAATGCAGACCTTAATGAGCCAATCACATCTCACATCAAGGTAATCAGGGACACTCATGCACCAAAACATAGACCCTTGCATCAGATGTGAGACTCAGATGAAGAAGATGAGAGGAAAAATGCACAATGGGAGGTACTGATGAAACAAGTAGTGTTCACTCCTCTTCCACCAGCTCCTGTTAAACCCAATGTTGATGAGTTAGATGACCTAGTGTGCAAAATGCATGAGCTAGATATTAGGAATGCAGCTTACTCTGTGTGTTATACAAGCCTCACATATCTTGCTCCAACCGCAGCTCAAGCATGGCCTGCCCCAAAAATGTCCCATCTCTCAAATGTTAACTCCATCAGCATACCCTTGTCCTATCTTCCACTCCCTCCTCTTCCAGGTCCCACTACTCATCAGTCAAACCCCATGTGCTTTTTCTGTGGAGGACCTCATGTTATGTGCGCTTGCATGGTTGCTGGGGAATACCTGCAAGCCAAGCACATCATTCACAACAGACAATTCCTTGCTTTCCCTGATAGATTTTGTATATGATGCTATGGGAATGACACCTTTAAGCAAGTAATTGACACCAGGTACACCTCAGCCCAGCCCACTACCCCTGCCACTGGACCCAATTCCATTCCAATTGACAAACCCCAGTGTGAAGAAACTCCACAAGTACCTACTGAAATCCCTTCCTCTGCCTTCATATTGGAATCCTATTTTTTATAGTGTGCCCCTGCAATAGAGAATCATGCAGTAGTTGTAGCTGTCGAGGAAGATGATGATGATGATGAGCAAGTACTGGAGGTTTTTGCACTGACAAGATCAAAGGCAAAGGCTGCTCAAAGCTCAGAAAATGACAAGCATACTTCCTCAACCCCTGCACCTCCCCCCAAATCATTCCAATTGCCAACATGGAGCTCCTGAAAGCCCCTGCCTTCAAGTATGAATCCAAAGCTGCAGTACCTGACACAGCTCACTGCATATATAAATCCATTCTCAACACAACCACTCCATACCTAACAATCTCAGACTTGTTATTGATAAGCCCTGAATTACACAAAGAGGCAGTAGAACACTCATGAATGCAACAAGTCCCATCCAGTTCCATACCTGTCAACAGAACACTTACAGCAGCCTGCTCCACACAGCCTGCTCTGCAGATAGAACATGCCACACCCCTGTGCAAGTTGTGAGTGACACTAAACAGTACTCACCCTGAGTTAGGATTACTGGATGAAGGATTGGAAATAGTAGTAATATGAGAAGACATTTGAAAAAAGATCCAGGCCCCAATCAACACCAAGGCCTACATGTGTATGCAAACAGCAAATGGAGGATCACAGGAAATGGCAGGATGTGTAGAGATGCTGGAAATAGATGTTGAAGGAATCAAAACCTGGGCTCATGTGTATGTTGTACCCAATGCTCCTTACCACTTATTGCCAGGATGACCTTGGCAGCAACTTGTGTACCTATCAAAGGCCAAAGATATGGACGGAGTACACATATCCATCCATGATCCTACAGATTCCAGCAAAGTATGGATGGTTGCAATGGTCCCTCATCCTTGGCCACACCAATCCTTGCCCTAGCAGCAGCAGTCTTTGCAGCCTTGCCAAGCAACACTGAATCACTCACAAAAACTTGGAAGGGCCATGCTATTGAATCTCTTGAAGCACCAGACTTCAAATGAAACACTTCTACCTCATACCCAAGATTCAATGAACAAACTCCTTTATCATTGTGAAGTTGCCAAGGACATGGTACTTTCAATATGAACCAGCAACCTCCTCAAGCACTGTCCCCACCACAAATATCTCTTGGCTCTCTAACAAATCTTCCTGGATCACCACAGACCCCAAATAGCACTATTCCTCCTCCACTTTCTATTCCAGTTGTTTCCCTATCTGCCTTCACCCTTTCTGAGCACCTTCTACAGGATTCCTTTAATATCAACCCAGCCTGTCACACCTTTGCCTACAAAAAAGTCACTAACAAAGTAAAACCTGTTGCTACCACAATGCCAGCACATGTGTGCATCATCTGAAGGTTTCCAGAGGACCTGCTTATCTCTCTCCCCATCCTTTTCCATACCCCTCCCACATTCACACCCACCAGCCATATCACCCAGGAACACATGGATGAACTTTGTATATTCAGTAACAAATTCTTATGGCCTGAGGAATGCAAGCTCACTGTGCACATTCTCACAAATAACAAGCTAGCTCTTGCCTGGGATGAAACTGAGAAGGGACACTTTCACAATAACTACTTTCCTCCTGTCATTATTCCCACCATCAAACATACAGTGGCTCAAAAGACTGTCCACATGTTTTTGCATTTTTTACTATGTACAATATTGTGTGAGAATACATAAAGACCTCAGTGACATGCTGATACCATATTGTAGTGCTGCTTCAGGGCTTTGGATTGAGCACCACATTGTGAGAATCAGAGGAGATATGGTGGAGATACAAGGCTTACAAAATCATGACTCATGCGGACAGTTTTTTGAGCACATATTAAAACTATATAAATCATCATTTATGACACCATAACAATCATGCCACCATTAAATAAATTATAAAGTAGTGTCATTATGTCATTTTAAAACCATATCTAACTATACAAACCAAAAATTTCCATATGTCATGGTTATATTCACCATGAAAGCCACCCCCCCTGCTCAAAGGGATAATATCCTCTCTCTTTCCTATTCTGGCCTCTCTGCTTGTCAAATTTCCTCTAGAACTGGAGTATCCAAGTCCACTGTGGCCAAGTTCATCAAAGAAAGTCACACAGACAAGGAAAACTTCTGTGAAGGGCGTCCATCCAAGCTCACCTCTACTGATAGGAGGGCTATTATTCAACATATCACTACAGGAA